GGAGCTTTTCAACTGCAAGGACTGCAAATCAACAATCTGCAACACTTGCCTCACAAAGGAACACGACGGCCATCAAACAGTCGCCACGAAGCCGAAGGACATGTCCGAATTCATCTTCGCCAAGACGACGAAGCGTTTCGACGTGCTGGTAGCCGGAAACGAGCGCAACATTCGCGTGTTGAACACAGATATTGGCGACAAGATGAAGGAATTTCAAGCGGCTGCCCAGGCCACCCTCGATCGAATGAAGTTGGAGCCGGAGCGCTCGGTCGAACTCGCCCACCAGGTCAACGAAGCCGCCGACGAGTTCGAGCGTATTTGTGAGAAGGCGTATCCGGTTACCCGCAAGATGAACGACGAGTTCGACACGCTCATCACGCAGTTTGCTAAAATTTGCCCGAAACCTGAGGACGTTGATGCCTAAACAGTGCCTTCTCACGTCACTGATTTGCGAATTTTCATTGATCGGCTCAAATTTTGGTTTATCTTGTTCGTTCGTGCTTGTCTTTTGCTACGACTGAAAATGAAAACGATCGTTTTGGCAAATTCCAGCCTTCTTTTTTTACGAATTTTAGTTGCTTAGCTCAAAATTTAATTACTCTTACTGCCTCGCTAATTATGTAGCTTTACTGCATTTTTCGTAACGTCTTGTTGAAAAAAGTTTCGCAATTTCCCGAATACGTATCCGCTTTCCTCATTTTCAATCGTTCTCATTTTCCCTTCAATAAATTAAAACAATCTTTTAGAAACAAAATGAAGGGCCCGATCGCCATCCTGGGCGCGCGATCTCTACTCGGGCGACATGTCGTCAACATCTTCCAAGAGCTGCACCCGGACATTGCGCTCGAAATGTGGACACAGTCGGACGGTAAGGAAAAAACTTTTTTTTTTACTTTTTATTCTGCTTTTTAGGCGTTGGCAACGTCAATTCGGTGAAGCGCCTGATCGCCTGCATCTCCGAGGCTGAGCTGGTACGTTGGAAATTGTATTCTGTAACTTTTGCTTTAGATCATCAACTGCCACGAGGCGCGCGACTTGTCGATGGCGCCGGACTTCGAGGCCCTGCATTCTCATAATGAGCAATTCGTCGCCGAGATCTTGCGCAGCAGTACGGCACCCATCATTCACATTTCGTCGACCCTCGTCCAGGTATCGCATTAACAGATTATTAACTTCTCTAACCATTTTTTAGTGCTCCGACTTCTGGCCAAACACCTACGAGCCGGAGCGCGAGGCCAGCAAGTACGAATCGCGTTGGCCGTGCAAGGTAAATTACTTTTTGAACTCGGTTCAACTTGATTTTAGGCTTACTGCAAGTCGAAACACCTCGCCGAGCAAGAACTGTTCGCCTCGCGCAGATCGGCCGTCGTCTTACGGTTTTTCGCTTTTATTAATTATGAAATTCTTCTTTAGGATCCCATTCCTATACGGCGAGGAGGACTGGGGCTCCCCGGTGACTGATGCGGTGATGGCCGCCAACATTTTCGGCTCAATCCCGAATATTGGCGATCGCGGCGGCGCTTTTCAGGTATTTTCATCACTCTTTCCCATCTAATTTTTAGATGGCTTATGCGGGCAACGTGGCGAACAAGGTCCGACTTGCCGCCGTCGAATTGTTGAAGGGCTCGTTCCGGGAAAGAGAGGTAAAATCTTCAAAAATATTGCTTTCTTATAGTTTTTTAGATTATTATTGTTGGAGACGAGACTCCCGTGGGTGATGTCTACGCCAACGTCGTCGAGGCGGTGGCAAAGGTCTATTTATCCGTTCTTCGCTTTAATTCTGATTTTTTAGAACCCGAAACGCCCAATGTCTACCTACAATCTGCCGTTCTTGCCGCTCTACTACATCTACCTCGCCATCGGCTGGCTGCTGCTCGCCGTCAACAAGATTTTCGACGTCAGCGGCTTGTTGAGCAAGGTTATTTTTACTTCATTAAAACCATATTTTCATTTTAGATGCCGGACCCCTCGTTGCTGTACCTCATCTTCCACCACTGGACCTTCTTCAACACGAACAAGTCGACAAATCTGCTGCCCGACCACGAGGAGCTGTCCCGTGAATACGTTGTAAAGAAAAGCCGCGATCATTATGCCTTGGTAATAATTTCTAAAACTTCTGAAATCACCTTGCTTTCTTTCCAGATGAACCCGAATCGCGTCCGCACCAGCTGGCAGCTGCACATCGAATGAATCGCCATCTGATTTTCCCGTTACTGTATACCATTGTGTTTTCCTGTGATTATCTTCTCCCCCAACTTGCTGTGCTTTCATTGCCTGTGAATTTCTATGTTGATTGAACGCCCTTTGTGCTGAATACAGATTTTCATTGGTTTTCGTGGCAAAAACGGAACTTTCGGTTGGAAACCACGAGGTATCGGCAGCGAAGTGTCTGAAAACATCGTGGGGGGAGCTTTTTGGGGCAATTAACAAATGTCGCATGGTTTGCACGCTTTTGTAATGCGTTAATTAACAGTTCAATACTGTTAAAGTATTTCTGATGCCTTATATTCGTATTTGCAATCTTTTATGCCATGGTTTAAATTGATTTTCCTAGTATAACAAGTCAGCGAGTTTCTAATCGCCATTTTAGTTTCTACACAGCTCCTTTTGCCGCCAAAATGCCGGCCATGCTCGAAGCGTACTTCGATGATGGGCTCACGCGCCGTGAGGTGAACCGCCTGAGCACGATGATCGCCGAGGTGATTTATTTTCTAAAATACATACCTTTCCTTTTAGCAATACGGCCAGATCCGCTCGATCCACATCCGGTACAACGGGACAGAAAGAGTGCTCTTCAGGAAAGGCACTGCCCAGGTAGTTTGGTAGAGTTTTTTGAGCAAAACTTTTTTGTAGCGCCTCGCCCATCCGCGATTCCCTTGCGCCGGGGACGATTGCCCATACTGTGAGCAATATCTGGATCGATTTGAGGTGGACATTCTCTAACACTGTATTTTTATATGTGCTGATTCCAGAATACCGGTGACACGCTCCTCGACTTCACTTTGCCTTATGATACCACGTGCAAATCGGCATCTGCAGTGAAGGAAAATACTATGCGAAGCTTCAACGAGGTTTTCGAGTTTACCGGTCTTTTGTATCTTTATTTAGACGATCCGCAACTCTGCAGCCGACCGCACCGCATATTTGGATTGCTCGCCTACGGATCGCAGCTCGTCATTGTTAGCGAAAAAGGGCATTTTGCAATCGTTTTTTAGTGAAGGATATTTCACGATGCGTAGCGGACTCGCACAAGTAAATTTGGACCAGACGCTCGACGGAATGGAAATGGTATCTGCTATCGAAGAAACGTAATTTTGGGTCTTTTTTTGGACAGTTCGATCCTTGTAGTGCCCTCCCTGATGATGGGGATGACGATAGTGATGGGCAACACAACGCTGAAACTCCAGCTCCCCAAGCCGAGATAGCGGAGACAGTGGAAAAATCACCGCACACCGAACTCCACGATCATCACGAATCGTAACTTGTTGCGAACTAATTAATTTTTTTCCTGTTAGGTCTGGCGTCGAAATCAGCATGTCCGTTGAGCCGCCACATGATACTGAAAAAGAAGAAGAAGAAGAAGAGGTGCTGCCCGCCGCCGACGATGCGATGGACACCGAAGCGTCTTTTGACCCAATGTAAGCGTTTTTTTAACGCCATATCACTTTGCAGGGAGCACTCGGCTTCTGGTGTGATTTTCGACGAGGTGCGCGCAAGTTCCCCGAATAATTCGTCTGGCTACCAGGTTTATTATTTTTTCGATTTGGTGAACCCAGTTTTAGGGCTCCGGTTTCGACCCAGATGAGCTAAACGACATTGCTTCTCCATCCGACAGCGCTTCACCAAAGTACGCCCTTCAGATTAGCTTTGTTGACTTTTTTTATCCGCTATTAGTTTATTCTGTACTCAATTTTGCAGCTCGTCGGTTCGTCACAGTAAGGAAGGCGTCGATCAAGCCGTCGTCAAAGACGAACAATTCAGCTTCGAGCCGTTCAACCTGTCAGCCCGGTGAGGGCATTTGGCCTCGCTTTGAAAACTCTGCTTTTTTAGTTGTAGGCCAGAATTTTTACGTTTCTGAATAATCCATTCACCAAAGTACGCCCTTACTAAAAACCGCTTTCCACGAGGGGACCATAAAAATCCAAGCAATCTCCTTTTTAGTGCCGAGGGAAACTCGTGTTTCGAGGTCTCGATGAAGGGCATTTTCCCGGAGCGCGAGCTTTCTGGTCTAATGGTTCGTCGTTTGGCTTTTTTAAGACCCTTTTTAGCACCAGCTTCTCGCCGAACGCACACTCCAGGCCGCCGATTTCCCGGAGATGGCAGCGCTGCTCAATGATGATGAGCTGGTGTGATTTTTCAAACGTATTTCAATTTCTTTTTCAGGAAAACGGTTTCGATGAGCATAACGACGATAGGGATGATGAGGCGGAGAAGCCAGAGTCGGACGATCACGGCTTCGACGACGATTCGTTCGACGATTGCCACGGCGAAATTGGAGATGTGCCCCTCAACGAGGCGATCGAGGCCGCGCAGCGTGGAGATTACAGACAGGTCGAAACTTTATAAATTTTTATTAGTAAAGTACAAAGTGTTTATTTTCCGACCTACGATAGCCAATTTGCGACCAGAATTTCAAATGTTGAAAAATTTTCATGGTTTCTAGCGATTTTTCGACGAGATATTAGGTGACCTTGCTCTAAGAACTTTGAAAAGTGCTATTATGGTCAGCTTACTACGAATGTCTGATTGAAGAAGGGGCTCTTTTTAAAAAAAGATTAAAATTAGCCATATTATTTCATTTCCGGGCTTGTAGGACCTCCCTCCCCCCGGATAATGCCAAAGAACCCTTTATGAGCTGAATGTTTTTATTCCAGCAATCGATGATCTCAGCCGCCGCTCAAACAAACCCAGCTGATGAATCTCAACAGACGGTAAAACGCTCTTCGCTTTCTTAAACTGATTTTTTCAGACAACCGCCCCGACGCAACGAAAATTCGCCGACCGTCTGAAGGGCATCGCCTGCTCAGTTGAGGCACCGGAAACAGACTGACCCCAATAAATTGTTGTTTAGGCGTGCCGCAAGCAACGCACCAAGTTCAAGTCGGTCCGGCAGGTGCTCGAGCATCTACTCGGCCGCCACGCGAAAAACCGACTGCCCAAGAAAATCCCAAAGATTTGGAGGTGAACATTTATATTGTTGAATAAAATGATTCTATAGGTGCGAAGCGTCGGAGCGCTGCCGTTTCACTTCTTTCTACCGCCACAACCTACTCGCCCACACCAGGACCCGTCACCCGCAGGCTGGCACGAAAGTGGTTCCGACACGGGAACAATGGTGGGAAATTTATGAGTGTTTAAAAACGAAAAAGGACAAATTTTATTCATTGGGCAGATTGACGTATTACTAGTATGATTAGTTCTGTGTTTTTACAAATTTTGAAAAGCTATAATTAATTTTACGGCAGTGGTTTAATAATAAATTTTATTCCGTTAGTGAATCATTACGTGTGGACGATAAGCCGTTATTTTACTCAAAAGTATTCGTCAAATTTATTTTTGGTAAATGATATCTCGACAAATTTAACTTCAACTTTATAATCTTCGGAAATATTCAAAAAAAAGTTTTAACACTTTCTATCGACTGAATTTTGGATTCCAGGCACCCCTCCGCACTGCTCGCCGTCCGAGACGCCGCCCGCCACTACTTTCCCGCCATCGAGAACCGTGTCGAAAAGTAGGCCAACTTGCTTGTCTTAACTTTCTTTTGTAGGTACCTCGTCTGGATGATCAAGTCGGGCCAAGTCGACGTCGACCCCAACCACCCGCTGCCCTCATAAGCCTTTTTTTAATCCCGTGTTTTTGTCTCCTTATCGTTGTTGAAATGTCATTAGTTTTTCACTTGTGATTTACAAGTCTCTAACGAACCGTTGCCAATATGGCTTGTCTGTTTTCACACAATGTGTAGAGGTTTCCATCTTGTAACCATTTCCCGTTGTTCGTCTTTGTGCATTGCCCACTGTACGATAAAGTTTTACATTTTCCCGCCTTCTTTGCCGGTAAAAACACCTCTTGTCGCGTAAAGTTTTTTCTGATATCTCAAAGTACTTTTGAAGCTGTATTATTCCATCGTTTAGCTTAATGTTATTAGCGTAGCAAGTGAAAAAGTGCTAATTCTCTTTTAGTTGTAAATAGCTCCTTTTACCGCCGGGATGCCAGCCATGCTCGAAGCGTATTTCGATGATGGGCTCACGCGCCGCGAGGTGAACCGCCTGAGCACGATGATCTCCGAGGTATTGTATTACCAAAAACCACACCTTTTTTCAGCAATGCGGCCAGATACGCTCGATCCACATCCGGTACAACGGGACGGAAAGGGTGCTTTGCCGGAAAGGCGCTGCTCAAGGCCAGGTAGTCGGAAAGGATTTTTTGAGCACGAGTGTTTAGTTCCTCGCCCATCCGCGATTCCATTGCGCGGCGAACGATTGCCCCTACTGTGAAGAATATTTGGATCGGGTTGAGAATACCTGCGACACGCTCCTCGACTTCACTTTGCCTCATGATACCACGTGCAAAGCGGCATCTGCAGTGAAGGAAAATACTATGCGAAGCTTCAGCGAGGTTTTCGAGTTTACTTGTTTTTGTATCTTGATTTAGACGATCCACAACTCTCCAGCCAACCGCACCGCATATTTGGATTGCACGCCTACAGAACGCAGCTCATCATTGTAAGCGAATCACATTTTTTCCAAATTTTCTTCAGTGATGGTTACGTGACGGTGCGCAGCGGGTTGGCAGAAGTAAATTTGGACCAGACGCTCAACAGAATGGAAATGAGATCGGCTATAGAAGAAACGTAATTTTGGGGTTTTGTTTTGGAATGTTCTATATATTTTAGTGTCCTGGCTGATGATGATGGTCAGCCCAAGGTTGAAGCCCGAGCTTCCGATACCGGGCATGCCGAGGCGGTGGACCATTCGACGAGCGCCGAACTCCACGATCATCACGAATCGTAACTTGTTTAGATCGGTTTTACTTTTATTTTAGTTCTGGCGCCGAAACCACGTCCCATCGGCCGCGACAGGATTCTGAACAAGGAGGAAAAGAAGACGAAGATGAGGTGCTGCCTGTCGCCGACGATGCTATGGACACGGAAGCGCCGTTTGAAGCAATGTAAACAATTTTTTTAACGCCATTTAAAGTTTTCAGGGAACGCTCGGCTTCTGGTGCAATCTTCGACGAGGTGCGCGCAAGTTCCCCGTATAATTCGTCTGGCTACCAGGTTTTGAATTGTTTCGATTTGGCGAACCCATTTTCAGGGCTCCGGTTTCGACCCGGATGAGCTAAACGACATTGCTTCTCCATCCAGCAGCGCTTCGCGAAAGTACGCCTTTCAGATTAGCTTTGTTGACTTGTTGTATTCGCTAATAGTTTATTTTGTAATTTATTTTACAGCTCATCTCTTCGTCGCGACCCGGAAGCCGTCGATCAAGCCGTCATCAAAGACGAACAAATCAGCTTCGAGCCGTTCAACCTGTCAGCCCGGTAAATTGTTATTCCTTTTTAAACTTTTTCAGTGCCGAGGGAAACTCGTGCTTCGAGGTCTCGATGAAGGGCATTTTCCCGCAATGCGATCTTTCTGGCCAAATGGTTCGTCGTTTCGCTTTTTTTAGAACATCTTTATAGAACCGGCTTCTCGCTGAGCACACACCTCAGGTCGCCGATTTCCCGGAGATGGCAGCGCTGCTCAATCAGGATGAGCTGGTATGCTTTTTGGAAGCGTTGGATTTTTCTTTTTTTTTAGGAAAACGGCTTCGATGTCCAAACCCACGATAATCAAGATGAAGAGCCCGACAAGTCGGAACCGGGTGATGACTGCTTGAGCGACGATTCGTTCCAAGATTGCTGCGACGAAAGTGGAGATGTGGCCCTCGACGAGGCCATCGAGGCCGCGCAGCGTGGAGATTACAGACAGGTTGTGTATTATTTTATTAGGTGCTTTTGCATTATTAGGGGGGGAAACCAACTTCTCCCTTTTAGTATTGATTTTTTTCTAACCTGTTTTTTATTCTTTTTGCTAATAACAATTGTTTTTGTAGCAAAATAAGCAAAAAATCTATTGGAGACGAAATGGTCAAATTAAGATCCTTGTGGTTCTTGTAGCCAGAAGTTTTCCCACTTGAAGTATGGTTGAACCTTGCTAAAAACAACGAAAAATTGCTACTACGTTGCTAGGAGCCTCTGAATTTGTTGGGGAGAATTAGTTTCGTAAGATCATGCGAAAGCCTTTACTCTACATACTGATTTACGTATTTTGTAATTTAGCAATCGAACACCTCAGCCGGCGCTCCAACAAAAGCGGCTGACCCTGAAGATCAATCTCAAAAGACGGTAAAAAACCCTTGCGTTTCTTTTACCGATTTTTTTCAGACAGCCGGCCCGACGCAACGCCAATTCGCCGACCGTCTGAAGGGCATAGCCTGCTCAGTTGAGGCACCGGAAACAAACTGACCCCAATAAATTGCTGTTTAGGCGTGCCGCAAGCAGCGCACGACGTTCAAGTCGGTCCGGCAAGTGCTCGAGCATCTACTCGGCCGCCACGCGAAAAAACGACTGCCCAAGAAAATCCCAAAGATTTGGAGGTACACTTTCAATCGAGTTTTCAGCAAAAGATGCTTTAGGTGCCAAGTGTCGGAGCACTGCCATTTCACGTCCTTCTACCGCGGCAACCTGCTCGCCCACACCAGGACCCATCATCCGAAGGCTGGCACGAAAATGGTCCCCACGCGAGAGCAATGGTTGGCGGTTTTTAAACTATTGGTTTAAAGAGCTGGATTGTTATCGGGGGAGGAAAATTGTACGGGACTATTTGTTGGAAGACTTCGATTGCCAGAGTATTCGAAAATCTTTTTGAATGCCTAAAAATGTCATATTCTATTATATGTTTGATAAATTTCTTCTTGGGGATTAATTCAGTTTTTTTGCACAAATTTAGAGCCTTATAATTATGTATTTTGTACTCAAATGCTGGTACGGAGGCTGTAATAATATTTTGTTGTTCATGAGTGCGTCACTACGGAATGGAGAATAGCCGTTTTTTCTTCAAAATGATCCTTCGAATTGGATTTGCTATAAGATCAATTTCCACAACCCGATGTCAACTCGAACTCGAACTGGAATTCGGGGTTACGGCAAACCCAAAGTAATTTCTGTTTTGACGCTTTTAATCGATTAAATTTTGTATTTCAGGCATCCCTCCGCACTGCTGGCCGTCCGGGACGCTGCCCGCCACTTCTTCCCGTCCATCGAGAACCGTGTCGAAAAGTAGGCCAACTTATCGTTTGACTTCACTTTCTTTTCTAGGTACCTCGTCTGGATGATCAAGTCGGGCCAAGTGGACGTCGACCCCAACCATCCACTGCCCTCATAAGCCTTTTTTTAATCCCGTGTTTATGTCCCTTACCGTTGTTGAAATGGCATTATCTTGTCTGCTTTCCTTGTGATTTACAAGTCTCTAACGAACCGTTGTCGATTACTGTCTCTGTGTCTGTTTTCACACACTGTGTAGAGGTTTCCATCTTGTAACCACTAACCCGTTGTTCGCCTTTGTGCATTGACCACTTTACGATAAAAACTTTACATTATTTACGCTTTTATTTGCCAGTTCTTCAAGACGGCTTCGTGCTGTTGATGTTCAGATTCGTTTAATTAGCATGCAAGTAAGTAATGCGACTTCCGGTCACCCAAACTTCATACGTCTGGCGCACTGTTCTGCTTGACAAGCCACAGTACCCAATTGAGGATAACCTACCTGGAAGTGATGATCCTCGATCATGAAGGAGGAGATTCTGTGATGAGGCCCGGCCATTGCACTCCCCGGTCAGGCTGAACCACAACACCATCCCCCAATAAGGGATCGTGTACTTTCCAATTTTTGAGTGAGGGGTCCCGGGCGGTAGCGGGGACCCTGCTAATAGAAAAAACACGAATTTGGTTCCCAAAGCGACGTGAAGAAGCTTTAATTTCTCGATTGCTTTGTGCACTCCCTTTAGGGGAATGCGTTCCAAAATTTGTTCGAAACACTCTTTTGAGGAGGTCTCGGGGTTAATGCTAACCTCAAACTTGGGTAATTAAACCGAAGCTGACGAGGGGTGACTGCTTTTCTTGCCTGTCGATATCCTAGGCTTGTATCTCTCAACGGGCAAGCGCCCAACGAGCGATCTCTCGTTGCCTGGGTCCCCTTTGACACCTATCCACGCTCTCTCAATAGCAGCAGGCGGCTCCATTGACTGTAGAGACCAGCAGACAACGAGATGATCGCTCATTGGGTGCTTGCTTGTTGAGAGATACCAGCCTAGACGACCGTTAGTTGAGCAAAGCAGCCACCTCTCGACAGCTTCGGTTTAATTACCCAAGTTTGAGGTTAGCATTAACCCCGAGACCTCCTCAAAAGAGTGTTTCGAACAAATTTTGGAACGCATTCCCCTCAAAGGGAGTGCACAAATGAAACGATTGGAAAAAGATGGATTCCGTGTTTTCGAGGTGGCTTCAAAATGAAAGCTAAGGAGACAAAAAAAACTAAATCGCAGCGCTAACGTAGAATAAAATGCCGCGCGCTAAAACTCTGCAAAAAAAGCCTACGACACTCGGGATTCCCAAGCCGTCTCCGATCCAAGTACTAACCGAGCCCAACGTTGCTTAACTTGGCAGATCGGACGGGATGCCGTGCTTTCAACGTGGTATGGTCGTAGGCGAGAGGGGAACGGGGTGGGAGGGTGAAAAACACCAAGACCCAGCTTGCGAGAATCGACCCCGTGCCTTTTATTTTTGTGTAAAAGGTATGCCTGTTTCTTATTTTCATACACTTCAGTTTCAGTGCCCTTTAAGATATCGCAGATCGCGATTTGGAAACACAATTTATTAAAAAGATTTCCTGATCATCGCCAAGGGATTGGGACACACTCATCCCTCTCTTTGACCAGCTTGTAGCCGTTGCGCACTTTTACCGCCTCGATGCCGACGCCTCGGCGATTCTGGGCAACGTAGATGTGAATCTGGTCGAAGCGGGTCGCTTCGTGGGAGTCATTCTTCTCCGAAAACTGGAAAAAAGGTAGCTGGGATTTACCATTATGCGCTGCGTGTTGGGGTACCGAAAAAAGCCTTGGGGAAATGCACTGCCACAAAATCTATGATTTAGCCTCACCAACCTGGGTGTGCCGAAAAGCTGTGGCCTCGTCGTTGGGGCCAATCTGCGCTTTTAGAAGGTTTCGAAGCTTGTCGGGGAGCTGGTATTTGGGCTGAGATGCGATTTTTAAGTTTCAATTTTTAGATGTCATCAAACCGTCAACGCTCCAAATCGGTCCATGGAGAACGCCATCCGGAACGTTAGGAGTCGGCTGACACCAGGGAGTGGGCAATGCTAAATTGCACATCTCTCGTGCGATCTCGGTCTCTCTCACTCACTCACTCTCTCTCTCTCTCTCTGGCTCTCTCTCTCTCTCTACCTACCGTAACCAAAGCAGCTTCCAGTATTCCCACCACGATATCCGTATTATCCTTCCAGGTACCTTTCCTACTCAACCACACCGAAAGCTCAGAGATATGCGCCACCTGGATTAATGATTAGTGATTTTCAGAGAAACGTGACGATTCACTACTACCAACAACAACCATACTATTCCGTAAGCGGCGTACCTCTGCAAAAATCAACCCATATTCATCATCTGTGAGCGGGGCTCGCCAGGCAGTCCGGTGGTCTCCAAATTGGAGTGAAAACTAAATTCGGGGAATGAAGGGGGGGCTATGAAGCCATGACAAGCCGCCAGTCTTTGGTTCCTAGGAATTAGCGCAACGCGACTGCCGCGCGCCACGCTACAGTAGTAAAATCGATAGTAATGCCTTTACGGACCCTTTAAAGGGATAGGGAAGGAAATGACGATGCAAAAAATGGGCTGGGAGTGGGCGAGGCGGGAGGGAGCAGCGAAGATTTATGCTAATTATGCTTTTCCTGGGCGTTCCGGATCGGTTTAAAGGACTCGTGAAGCTTGCCAACCGTGCTGCTTTACTGACCTTCAAAGGTGATAATTTCAATTTCCCCTACCCGATATGGCTGACGGGCTAGTTGTCGTTCTGCATGCAGCACAGTTTTGAAGTCCTCGGCCGTCTCTGCCATACATCCCGTGACAAATGGCCATCGCAGCACGTCTAACGCGTCGCGTATCGGGCCGCCACCCTAAACGAGTGCGTCGAGCCAAGGCGAGAGGGAAAGAGGGAGGGAGAGAGAGAGAGAGAGTGAGAGCGGCTCATGTAAGACGCCTTTAAAGGAGCGGTGACACGAAATAAAGTTACCCACCACCTGTTCTCGGCTCGAGTAGCAGAACGTGACCAATTGCGCGTGCGCGGGCGCTAGTAGACGGTTGATAAACTCGAATTCTGCCCCTTCCGACTCGAAGCTCTTCCTGGCGTTGTAGTACGAGAAGTTTTTCCTTCAAACGCATTTTAGGCTGAGATAGGAAACGGGATTAGGTATAAACTGTGCCTAGTATGCGTGAATACGTAGGAGATTCTTACAAAAATGACATTTTCGATATTAAAATAGTGGTTTTGTAAAAATTTCGGTTTCCGGACCCACAAAAGCCGCGAAGCGTTTTTTTCCACCTGGTACTTTATAATTAAACTTGCATATTTAGGAATACGAGCTCCAAAGGTGGCCCAAAATGCCCGACGTCGACGGTTACATCTAAGTGCGTGTGCCCGATGCCGTCATCGATCGTGAACATGATTTCGTTGTAGGGGTCAAGCCTCCGATAAATCTAGGATAAATTCGTGTTAAAGTAGGGGCACAAGTATTGGTCTATTTAAGACTCATTACGAACCCATTCCGGTCGTTGCGTCTCGACGTAAATATCGTTAAACCTTGTACCAATAATCAAATGGTGGGCCGGTCTTTGGTGGAAAACCTGATATCAGAAAAGTCGGGGTAGCGTTATGTGAGGATACCCTAGCGACCAGACGCAGCTTGAACTTTTGCCAAAAGTCGATCCGGTGGTAGACGGCCGTTTTTTGGGTTTCCGAGAGGTCGAGGAATGGGAATGGCGCTGGGCTTTTCATCCTGAAATCAATAGAACTCTCACTTGATCCAAAACTACAACGTTAAAGGGACCAGGAAATGCGAGAATCGACCCCTTTCTTGGCTAGGCCAGCCAGCCCTGAATTTCAGCCCGAATTTTAGCAAAAGTAAGAAGATTTAAAAAATCAAAAGCTTGGATGGCCTCTGGTCCAGTCTATTTCAGTGCGTAACTGTGTCGGTTCAGTCAATAAGGGCGCTCAAAAAGTCATCTCCACGACACTTGACCTCTACATTTTCAAACCACGCGCGTAGTCGCTTAGTTCGGTTAGGCATCACGAGCTTTTCAAGCATTAATGGTAACTGACATCGCATTGGTCAACTAACCCAACCGATCACGACGCTAAAATAGTCATTTTATGGTGGCGCGGTAAATTAATCAGCCTCATGCCCATACCTGTAGCTTGTTTTTGATACTGTGTCTTGTGGCTGGTGCACATGATTCGAGCCGGAGGCTTTGAGATTTTTGCTGGGGATAAAGGAAAAGTGCGGGGTAGCGAGAGAGCAAAATTTATAGAAATAGAGCTGAGGAGAAAGCGTTCTAATTTAGCAAAAAAAATCTGCATGCTAAAAAGCCTGCAAAAGCCTACGACACCCGGGATTCCCAAGCCGTCTCCGATCCAAGTACTAACCGAGCCCAACGTTGCTTACCTTGGCAGATCGGACAGGATGCCGTGCTTTCAACGTGGTATGGTCGTAGGCGATGGGAAACGGCGGTGGGAGGGTGAAAAACACCAAGCTCCGCGGTGCCGAATCGGCCCCATGTGCCTTTTATTTTCTGTGTAAAAGTTATGCTTGTTTCTGACTTTAGTACTCTGCAGTTTGGTATCCCTTTATCTTTATGATATCCAGATAGCGATATCCAGATAACGATTTATTAAGAAGAAATTCGCTGATCATCGCCATGGGATTGGGACGCACTCATCCCCCTCTTTGACCAGCTTGTGGCCGTTGCGCACTTTTACCGCCTCGATGCCGACGCCTCGGCGATTCTGGGCAACGTAGATGTGAATATGGTCGAAGCGGGTCGTCGCTACGTAGAAGTCATTCTTCTCCGAAAACTGCAAAGAATTATGAATCGCATGACACACGCGTCTGGAAAACGCTATATATCCACGGAAACAGAAACTATTCATACAGGGTGGGTCAAAAAAAAAAAGCCAACTTTGCGCCATATTATCTAGCGAACGGTAGAGAATCGAAGGTACGTTACCATGCCAGAATGCTTAAATATGCTGGGAATGAAGATTTAGCACAACTTGATTTTTTCGATTTTTGAGTACGCAACTGTACTATTGACGCTGGTTACGACCGAAAATTGTGCGTTCTTGAACGGGTGGTGGGAAAATTCTGATTTTTGGCCCAAAAATCGTTGACATTTGTAGAAAAATAATGGCCAAATATTAGAATTTTTTAAGCTCCAGTTCTTTTTTTACAAGCAAAACAAATTTCACTATTTTGTATCTTTTGAGATTTTAATTGGCAACTCGCTTTAAATACGCTGCCCATGGCTGATTTTTTGCAGATGGTATCTCCGAATGATAATCTTGAGCACAACACCAAATTTTACCTGATTCTATGGTATTTTAATGTTGCTTGCTAAAACGTGCCCCAGAGGGATACTGTAGTTTTCGTTTTTCGCGTTTTTCTTTTTATTGTAAGCTGCGATTTTGCTTAAAATTTTATCATTGGTAAACACCAGTAAGGGTCACCTATGGGCTAAATTTCGCGAAGTTCTAGCCATACACCTTCCCAAAATCTGCAAAAAACTTATTTTTGAATTTAGCCACGGAAATTTCTAAATTTTTTGATGCATCGGACTAAAAACTACTATAATTTGTTTTCCTGAAAGATCGAAACGTTTCTATGGTGAAAAGAACGAGGAAGCGGCGATTTTCTGTTTTCTACAGTAACCCGCCAGGAGCGCGTTTTAGCATGCCAAGACAAAATTCCATAAAATGCCAATTTTTCTATTTTAGAATGTTCTCTGGGTGATTATGAGAACGCAGGCGAAAAATGACTTACTTTCTGTGGTAAATGACAAAGTTATGAGGGAAAGTGGAAAACCCTCCTCGAGGCCCGATTTTGGACCCGAGGCCCCGGCCGAAAATCGAATTTTTGAAAATGAAAAAGTCACCGGATTTTCGTGGATATAATTAAAGCACGCATCGAATTGTGTATGAGAGCAGAATTCTGGAATGCTCTGGCTGAAGTTAATGGTTGATTTTGATTTAAAACCCGAAAACAGCGTTTTTGAAAAGCCGACTTTGGCGAGCTCTTCTAAATTCTTTTGCCGTGAAAAGGTTTTATATTTCCATGGGTTTTAGTTGACTACCCAAGCTGAGTTTATGCCAAAAAAGTCGAGGCTACTAAAGCCTCGAGAATTTTTTTACGTCGCCTCGAATTCGGGTATATTTGAGCTCTTCGTGAATTTCTTTTGAGAGATTGGATGGCCCAATAAATTTGTAAATATAATCTTGGAATGCGCCCATTAAGTAGTATTAAATAAAATTATGACAATAATTTTAGCTGCGCAAATGAATTTTATAGATTGGCACCAAGGTCTGCGAAATAGCACGAACCAACCGTTTTGGAGGCGCTAAAAAGCAACCTTCCAAAGGGGTACGGTAGCTAGAAATTGTCTACATGATAAATGGACCCCAGTCCTACACAACCAAGCAAAGAAAACACCCAGGTTCTATTCGGAACTTTAGGAATATTTTTTCAAAGTTCGGTTTCGTCACCGCGAAAAAATCCATGACCAGGGGGTCGTCGAAAAACTCAAAAATCCGCGGATCTGAAAAATATTTTTGATATTTTTGCGGGATTGTATCGAGACCATAGACATGCTAAGACAGCTTATTTAGAGGTTTCCACCATAGGTTTTTGTAATATTCGAAATTTACGAAATTTCTCCATATTAAATTTGAGCACGCTATAACTTGCCAACCAGACCTTCGAAAATTCCAAAATTCCGGATTTGAGTAGGGGCTGTGCTGAGGTACCTACACTGTAAAAATTGGAAGTGTTCGACCACCAGCAATCCAAAAAAATGCAAACAAAGTTTTGCCGGAACGCACAGTTTTCGGGTGTCATTTGTATTGGTACGTCGCCAAAAATCGAAAAAATCAACTTGTGTTAAATCTTCATTCCCAGCATATTTAAGCATTCTGGCATGGTAACGTACCTTCGATTCTTTACCGTTCGCGAGATAATATGGCGCAAAGTTGGCTTTTTTTTTTGACCCACCCTGTAGTTGGCTCCCCGCCATGAATGAGCGGCGGACGGGTTGCTTCGCGATGCGCGAAGGAGTGCGATGTGACAGCTAAGCCAGTTAGCATCCCGGAATCAGCGTTTCAAGCCGATTCGAATGTCCAGAGCGAAATCCTGACGAGCTCGACTGGCGGACGCGAATTTTCGAATTATCAAAATTTTAAAGATATTTTTATGGCTTTCTACAGTCAAAAATTACTAAAAACACTACCAAAATACATAATATAGCATCCATAGGTAGGCATAGATAAAAACACAACAATTGGTTTCGCCCCCCCTCGCTAACAGTCCAGAACCCAAAATGCCAAGGGTTCAGCACGAAATTTTACCATCAACTCTCCATCGCGCGATTTTGCCAGAAATATTGTAATATTCGTGAAAGTAGGAATAAAAAACGAACGCCCATCCTCGAAATAGTAATACATAATCACACACTAATTTTGATAATATAAAAGACGAAGCGGACTGTGTTCTTAGGCCCACAGATCTTTGACGGAAGGCTGATTTTTCTAGATTAGAAGCAAGAAATTTGCAGGTGAAAATTATTGAAAGATATGGCCTTTAGTGGCCTCACAGAAAGACCGAGGCATTTGTCGCATTATAGCGAACATCGGCAGGTGATGATGGCAATGCGTTGAAGCTAAATAATTAAGTCGAATGTTCCGCGTCAAACCATTCATGGCCCAGAAACTAAAACACCCCCGGAACTAGAGTACAGTTTTGTATTCCTATTTAGTATTATTTTAGTATTCTTTTCGAAAAGCAGGTTCTTTAGGATTCGGGGGAATCAAATTTTTGTCGGCCCAAGCTTGAAATTTTTTATAAATAGCTGGTGCGTTTCTAAATTGTTTTGAACTATTCCTAACCATAAAAACTATAAAAATTTTAATTAAAAAATTAATTTTAAGTCGAAAAATTGATTTTTTAAATTGTCGACTTCTTCTAAAATTCTTCTAATTTTTTTTGAGAGTTATTCTACTTTAAATATCGTTAAAACTTACTAAAAACAATGTAAAAACACTTTATATATGGTTAATAGGCCAAACCGGACCGCCAGGAAAAAAATTTCGCTGCCGGGGTTCGAACCCGGGCCTTGAGGACGTGAGGTGCGTACGCAACCATTTAACCATAAAGGGGATGTACTCTGTAGTCGGCGGCAATTTAACTGTATTTTCTTAATTATTCGTGCATTTTCACCTTTCTTTTTCTATGCGAAAAAACCTGTAGTCTAGCAAAGTAGCTCTGCACGACATAATGACAAGAAAGGACTGGCACACGGTGGAATAGAAGGAAAATAACTGAAGAACACCGGATAATCGGAAGGAACCATTCTCCTTCGATTACTAAACACACAAATATGGCTCAAATTAAAATAATGAAAGTTTAGCCAAAAACTAAAAATGAAGGCTAGTCGAGCAAAATTTGTTACCCTAAAATCCCGCGTGTAGTTCCGGGGAAAACGTACGTAGCGTCCGTAATTACGTATAACCGTAAAGAGGTGTGTTTCGTTTTTCGGCTTTTTGCAAATAACTCCGTTCAAGAAAGGTAATTTTGCAATTTCGACGGCAGATTTGCTCAGATTTCGAGTATTTCCAACATTTTGAGGGGTTTGATGAAAGAAATTGATGTAAGAAGTCCTAAGAACCACTTCTTTTGGCTTACAAAGCTTTTGCGGCGAAAGGGCGGGAACGCACGTTATTCGAGCGTCATTTGCATTTGTGCGTCGCCAAAGCGTACCGGGACCATACTCGGGATTTTAGGGTATAACGCCATGTTTTCAATCGGGCTTGTTCTGGGCACTGGGAAAATTTTAAGTGAGGAAGAAGTTAGACGTAGAAAAGGATAGTATTGGGATCAATTCAATACTAATGGGAAGTTTTTTGGGCATATTCTCAGAAAAAAAGGAATAAAGGGACCGGGAAATCGCTAAAGTGGTAGTTTACTTTTTTTTAATCCCCGATACCTTTTTGAAGTGGTAGAGGGTCTGTACAGAACTGACCGGAAAATCAAAAACCGGTGAAATTACGCTTTTTCTGTGTGCATTCAGTCGACGCCGCTGAAAATCTCGGAATTCTCGATGGCGACGATCAGCTTCTGCTTGAGGTCGGCAAAGCTGGCGTACGGCGGCAGGTCGATGCGGTTGAAGCTGAAGAACTCCGTTTGACTTCAAAAAATTGACCTACCAAGTATGGGATCTGGGCAGCATATCCGGCGAGCCCCACCTTTCCACCGTGAATTTCTGGGGTCCATTTGAGCCGTAGAGCTCCCTGAAATAAATTCATGGTTTAGGCGCCTCTAAAAACCTCCTAAAAACCACTGCTAGCTTGCCTAATAGCCTTTCTATGACCCACCGGAACCCGTTCATCGGCACTCGACTCGTACCCGTCACAAATTGCAGCACTCGGGCCCTCATTTCATTGTCAAACGAGAGGATGCACTTCCAGAAATTGTGAATCACCTATAATTAAGCGTGTTTAATAGACCTGACTATTTTCACTGCCAATCAAACATGCCAAAAACGGCAGTTTGGGGGCAAAAGCGTTCATAGTAGCCGACCGTAGCGCGCATCAAAAACTTTAAGCTCTTATAACTTTTTTAAACCGACTTAATATTGAAAATTCAATATCAATTATTGCCGAGTAAAATTTTACGGTTCGGATGATACCAAAGACAACAAGTTAGCCCTCCAAAACTTTCCACAAAGTCGCCAACAAAAATCGCCTTCGTTTTGATACTTTCTGAATTCAGTTTTTTAGTGTTTGGTATCATTAGAATCGCCACGTTCCATTCTACAAAGTTGGAACAAGTTTTTGTTAAAGATTCGCTTTAGTTGTAAAGTTATAAGGCTTAGAACTTTTGGGCCCCATACATTTTCGAGTTGATAGCAGTGCCGCGTTGCTTAGGGACTTATTGCCGCCAATTTTGGACGTGTTTTAGTCATCCTACCTGACTACTTGGCCCATATCCGCCCTTGTAGACGGTGTTCGCCTTCCAGTCCTTGACGTCAATCTTCTGCAGTCCGCACATCAGCAGTTCCAGCTCGTTCGCGTCGAAAATTCGCAACAGATTCGAGGGCACAATCTGGCAGTCGCTAGTTTCGAATAAAAATGCTTTTGAAAAACCTCATTGACGCCCTTCATGATCTGCTCCATCTGGGGCTCGATTCGCTTGCTGAAGCGCCAATTCACCACCGCCTGAAATTGTGATAATTTTTTCAAATTTCTTTCGACCCAAGCCTAAATTCTTCTATGAATAGTGGATGCGTTTCTAAATTGTTTTGAACTATTCCTAAGCATAAAAACTATACAAAGTTCGATTAAAAAAGTTAATTTTAGGTCCAAAAAAAATTCATTCTTCCAAAAATGACCAAATTTACGACTTATTCCGACATTTTTTGAAAGTTTTTCTACTTTAAATATCGTTAAAACTTAATAAAACAATGTAAAAACACTTTATCTTTAATTTATAGGCCAAGAGGAATGCCAGGAAAAAAAAATTGGTACCTCGATATAATCTTTCTTGTTTTCCTCAGTAACGGCCACATTCTTGCCGTTTTCAATCAGCTCGACCGTCACCGGGTCGCCGCCATACACCTGATCATCGACGGAAAAGGTCAGGTCAAGTTCGGCAGGGTCATTGTCCTAGAAAAAAACAAAGTCAAATCTTTTTAAAGAGCTTACCATAACGTAGATGAGCGAGTTATAATAGGCATTGTCAACGCTTTCCATGTCAAAAAGCGTAATCTTCTTCCCGAGCATCATTTTGTAGAAGGGACGGATGAAGAAAGCTGCAACAAATCCTTATTCTATAAATTTCAGGCTACCTACCATCAAGCAGTTTTCCGTGATAGATGGCCATCCCGAAGACACGGCCAATAAAGTGGAAATGTGACAAGTGTTCCGGGTTGGCGATACGTGAATGGGGGTTGATTTGAAGAGTGTAATTGTCACTAAATGGATAGGGTATTTTATTTAGGTTCTTTGGCATTATCGGGGGGCATTTCGCATTCTTTAGGTTTTCTTATTTTATTTTCCTTATTATTTCCTCTCTTTCATCTATCTTTCTTGAAGTATCGGGGGGACTCAACTTTCTTGTTTAATTCCAGAAATGCCTAGTAAGTTAATAGGGGTGACGGCCAGTTCGCCTAAATCCGTTTCGCCTAAACCCATATCGCCTAAAACCCGTTTCGCCTAAAACCCGTTTCGCCTAAAACCCGTTTCGCCTAAAGCCTATTTCGCCTAAAACCGCACTTCCGGTTGGGGAGTGTTTTAATTGTGTTTTTAGTAATATATAACTATACCAGATGGTTACAGTCGCTTCGCGACTGCAACCATCTGGCCTTCGGGCTACCCTACATGTCCCACTCCACCACATCCTTTCCCACCTCCATCAACACTCCCCCACAGCCGAAATCCCCTTCAAAAACTACCTTAATACCTTCCTGATGACTTCAGATACCCCCCATGGCTGAAATCCCCTTCAAAAACTACCTTAATACCTTCCTGATGGCTTCAGATATCCCCCATGGCTGAAATCCCCTTCAAAAACTACCTTAATACCTTCCTGATGGCTTCAGATACCCCCCATGGCTGAAATCCCCTTCAAAAACTACCTTAATACCTTCCTGATGGCTTCAGATACCCCCCATGGCTGAAATCCCCTTCAAAAAACTACCTTAATACCTTCCTGATGGCTTCAGATATCCCCCATGGCTGAAATCCCCTTCAAAAACTACCTTAATACCTTCCTGATGGCTTCAGATACCCCCCATGGCTGAAATCCCCTTCAAAAAACTACCTTAATACCTTCCTGATGGCTTCAGATATCCCCCATGGCTGAAATCCCCTTCAAAAACTACCTTAATACCTTCCTGATGGCTTCAGATACCCCCCATGGCTGAAATCCCCTTCAAAAACTACCTAAATACCTTCCCGATGGCTTTAGATGATTTAAATAATTAATTAACATAATTAAAAAGTATTAAAAGTATTAAAGTAACTTAAAAAGTTATTTGGACGCGGGAAAGGGCCTCGGGAAGAGGGGCGAAGAGAAAGGGGGCGTGGCCTCCCGGGGAGAGGGCCCCCACTCGTTTTATTAAGGCGCCACTTTCAAAGTTAATTTTAATAATTTAAACTAAAAGTTTTTCGTAATTTTTTTATCAGTTTGGGGGTTTCTGACCACGCTCTATCCGAATCCGAAGAGAGCTAAGCTCTAGCTCCTTTCCCCTTCGAGTTGAATTCGGCTTCAGACGGACGGACGGACAGACAGACGCGTCAAGAAAATTATTATAGTTGATTTAAACTAGAAAAAATCAAAAACTTTTAAAAATGTTTTAAAAAGCGAAATTTTGGTCAAAGATCGGCCTTTTTGGTAGAAAATCGATATTCTTCATCTTTTTAATAAAAATTTGTAAAGTTCTCACGCTCAAAAAAAACATTTAGAAACACTTCCACTATTTATATTTTAAAAACCAGATCCTATGAAAAAAGTTGGTTTCCTCCGATGGTGCAAAAAAAATTTTTATTTAGTAGAGTTTAGCACTTACGTGGCACTATATTCAAAAAGGCCGTAGTATGGGTTGAAGATCTCATGGGAGAGCAGGAAACACCACTCCCGAGCCACACCTCCATAGTCAAGCCCCGTTTCGCCAGCAAATTCGATCCACAGTTTGTGCCGAAGTTCCGAGGGTGACTAAAGTCAATATTTTCTAAAAAAGTAAGTTAAATCTCAAACCTTATCCATAATCTGTCGATAGCTGTCAGCAAAGATGTTCTCCCGATGAATGATCAAATCACATTTTCCATTCGAAGTGGCTCGTGGCAACTTTTGACGTAGGTATTCGACCTAGATAATGATAAATTATTGATTACCTTTCTCTGGGACCGACCTTTCGCTTGAAATCGCGAGAATATGGGATAGCTGGCCCGGCGATGCTCTCATTTTCAAAGCGCGGATCCTCCCACTGGGTCCGCTTGCTATTGTGGTCGATGAAGAAGACGCGACTGTCGCTGTGTACTCTAGAAATCATGAGAATAACTTTAAAGACCATCGACCCACCGCTGTTCCCATCCTTCCGGCAGCGGTCCCAGCTCATCGTCCGTTTTCCCAACCGCTTCAGTCTGGGCTTGACCTGCAAAAGAGTTTTTGAACCCAATTTTGCGATTTCTACCTGTCCGGGGATCATTCCAGGTTGTCGTCTTGGTTCGGTGATCGATGTAGAAGATGCGGCCGTTGGGGGCAACCTATAAGAGTTACATTCCGGAAAACTACAAGCTACACACCTGCATATCCCAGCCATCCGGCAGAGCCTCTTCGTCGTCTTCGGTTGGTGTGCCATCGAAATGAGCGCGTAGACCATCATCAATCTGAAACCCCTTCTTATCGTTTCTGTTCTCAATTTGAATTTCAAATTCTGCAACCTCTATGCTAAAAAACCAGAAAATAAAGAATTATCCCCTTCCTTACCGCCGCCAATGTGTTATGCACAGCCTGTGGACTCGAATCGACCTGGGTACGCTGTTCATAGTTTGTCCTGGCAACCCTCCGTGCCGCAATGTCTCGCATGCTAAAGGTTGTTCATCTACTGTAAGCCGTCGTTCTCATCTACCTATCGCTATTGTCCTCGAGGGTCGGCTTATCCCATTGCGTTGTGCGGAGGATGTGGTTGACGTAGAACGTGCGCCCGTTCGCATCCTCGCGCTCTTCCCAGCCTTAATCATTTCTGATTAGTTTTGCATGTTTTTATGTACCTTCAGGGAGTGGTGGTGTCGTCGGGTCTGCACTGCTCGTAGATGGCGACTGTTCGCCGGAGGAGAAATGGACCGACATGTGAATTATGCCTGAAAAAACTGTTTGTGTAATTTGTCTAGAAGCTACCTCCACTCTTTCCTTGCTTCCCTCCCTTTAATGCATAAGCTCCAGCTGGACGGCATTCATTTGGGATCAACGGGGATGAGAGGTCGAGCTCAATTTTTCCGAGGAATTGGTCCTTTCTCTAAAAAAAACTTTATAAAAGCCGTATAACATCCGATCGGTCCCAAAATTTGACCAGAGGTGTATCAGACCCTAAATAACCACAATTCGGAGTTACCGCCCGTTCGCTACAGTGGTGCTCGAGTTATAACCAAAATACCGTTTTCTATGCGATTTTTAACATTTTTCGGATCTTTTTTGATTTTGCGTCGATTTGCTCGACTTCCGGCTCGGAACCCCTCATTTCGTTTATGATTGATTTTTGCTTGTAAAAAAACTTCTAGAAAGCATGAGTTAGTTAAATTTTTGGTCAGGAAAAAATTTCTAGAGGTAAAGAAGCCTTCCCGCGTCATTTTCACTTGTTATTCTAAGGGTCGACTCCGACGAAAACCCTATGAAAAAAAGCATTATAAAGTTTATTTTTGTTGTATCTCGAAAATTAGTGTAGCTGGCGGCTTATAACACAGGATTGTGGTTATTTAGGGTATGATACACCTCTGTTCCAAATTTGGGACTGACAGGATGTAATGCGACGAATTGCCGGAGGGGTGCTTTTTTTGTGACTCCCTGTATGCTTCAAAAACCCTTTTTCACTCACAATTTTGTTCTCGCTGTAGCAATAAACCTTCAGGCAGCAGTTTCGCGTACATCGGAATGTCACGCGCTCGTGCCACGACGGATTTCGGGTCTGGAAAGAAATAGGAATAGCTTAGTAATCGAAATTCTCTTACCTTTCGCTTTGTCTCCAGCTGGACTTTATGTACCAGCTCCCCGGCGGCCGTCTCCACGCTCACGATCACATATGGGCTCGTCACGCCGAACAAATCGCGGGTGCCCAGCTTTTCGCCGCGCACAATGCGCACCCGTAGTGTCTCCGTTTCCTGAATCGGGCAATAAAATAGGCAAAATCTAGCCCAACCTCGGAAGCGGAATCGCTGCGTGCTCGCAGCCCGTTCGGCACCTCCATAGCACTAAACGAGTGGCATATCGATAAAAATGGAGGATAAAATTAAGCGGGATATAATATAGCCGTTGTGGCACTAAATAGAAAATAAGTAGAATTAGTGGTAGACGATACCTATCCCTTCTGACCCGCTGCAAGGCGCCACCCGTAGAGATTGTCGTCGCCTGCGAGTTCGCCACCAACATCTAAAAAATCAGCGTTGTTTAGGAATTTGTATAATCCCAATTATACGATGTATGATCGTGATATTTTTCCGCATCTTCGACAAAGCATAGCGAAAGATAGACTTACGAGAAATGGAGATCTCGATGAATATCGACAGACAGCTACAATTCCTTGAACATCGACAGCAAGAACTGAAGTGAACGCATGTAGAAGCAGAAACGCAAAAGCAGGAAAAGGAAATCAAGCTTTTTAAACGACGTTGAAGATCTCCTATGCGATACGGGATAAAAATAGCCACCAACAACCTAGAAATACGTCAGAAAATCGGCGTCTGATCTCTCGATCTCAGATATCAGAAGATTAACCCAGTTCCATATCCGTCGCTAAGACAGCGAGAAATTCTGGAGAAACAGGGCCAGAAAATGATTCGATAGAGTGATGTAGGGACTCTAATCCGGGACCCGGGGTGAGAGAATGTCTGTCATGTGACGTCACTGTAGTCACAAGGAAACGAGCAGGGTGGAAACGTGAAAAGTTTAACGGGATCGGCAAGGTAAAAGTCCGGCCCGCACGTTTACAAGGAGGATTCGTACAGTTATAATGTCTGCAGAACCAGCAAAAACTTCAAAAAAATAACGCCCAGCTCGATATCTCCGTCACCACCCCACTAGCCCCGACTCAATGTCAACTCGCCGTTTCCCATTTTTGCTAAATGATCTGTCTTTGTCTCTCTCCCTCTCTCGCTCTCTCTCTCTCTCACTCTCACTCTCTGGCTCTCTCCCCGCAGCCCCAGAGGTGGAAAACATAAAAAGGGCCGGTATTTTTGTTTTGACGACCGGCCGGCCGCCTGGCAACGTGCCAGCAAATAGATGGCCGTTGGGACATGACACCCCGTTTTGCCGGCAAACATACAACCCTCACGTCTCGCCCTCATCATTTCAAAGGAACAAAAACTAATAAAACGGGTTTTAATAGCAAAAATTAGTGGGGTTTTTGAATACACCGAGTCGGCGACACAGAACAGTGAATTGAAGATTGTGTATTTAATTAAATCTTAACTCAAATTTGGCAATAAAAATAAAATTTTGGAATCAAAAGGGCGACCCGTAACCGGGGGCTGCCATATGATCGGCCGGTGAAGCTTGTAGCCTGTGCTCCAGCGAGACTAATCGAATGCACGGGTTGATTTGTGTTTCATAGTTGTGCCACTTTATTCAAAAAAGCATTTTTTCGAGCGCCTTTTCATTCGAAAGCTAAGATTTTCTTTTAGTAGAACGGGAAACCTTAGAAAATTATAACTTATCAGCTTCTATTTATTAACGCATGAAACTAACGTCGAAGTTAAATTCCTTCAAGCTAATTTAAAGAGTTTCAAGATTTAACGGATTTAACGAGAAACGGACATTACGAGATTCAAAAGGCAGTTATAAAAAGCCCACTTAAATCAACTAAAAACTATCAGATCCTAATTTATCAGGTCATATCCAACTAAAAGAAGGCCTTCCAATCGACTAAAGTAAATAAATCAAAAGCCAAGCCAGTGTGGCTGCGAGACACGGTGCCGTGCTTATAGCATGGAGCGTATGGAATGGCGGCAAGAAGGAGAACCAGTTCTTCTTTTCAGCTTTCTCCCCCTCTCTCTCACCCCTCGAGAATCGATTTGGCCTGTGTAGAGTCTGTCTATCTCTGTCTCCGTTCGCTATCTCTCGTACTTTCTTCATTTTCTCGCATCTCTCGCCGCCACCCAACAGCATAGGGGCCGCGGCACAGGAGAGGGGTTAGAGAAATGGCCACGGCAGAAAAGGGCAGAAATGTCGGGTTTTTGAAAGGAAATATTTCACTCTATTTGCTGGGGTTCTGTAGAAAAACAACCAAAATTTCCAAAATTTCTAAATTTCTAAATAAAAAGTTTTTCTAACCATTTTGCCGCTTTCGGCAAAAATCAATTCTTTTAAAAAATTTGACTTACGGTGCTAATGCATTTGGGGGGGGGGGAATCGGATTTTGACTCCAAGACGCTCCAAATGCCGTTTTTTAAACTCGAAGCCTCGGGAAAAGCTAACAAGGATACCTCCCCAGCTCGAAGTTCAGCTTCGATTAGCTAAACAGCCTATCAGATGCAGTTTTTTACGCTGATAACGATACCGCTATTTATTTTTGCCCAAATCCACAGGAACAGTGTTAAAAACAGCTTTAAAGTTTTGCCATGATTTACCGCCATGCCTCAAAGCCCTTCCCCAGGGCAAGGGACCCATTGGTGGCGTGGTGTAGTCGGCAAGTACTTGGCATACCAATCTAGTGGTTAGGGGTTCGAGTCTTTCCGCTGACGACTTTTTTGCTTTTTGGATAAAAAGTGCTGGGAAGGTCATATGAACGCCCAGTAACAATTTTTCTAGTGTTGTTGGCCCCTTGGTCATGGTTTTGGCAACAGAAAGCGTTTTGGCAACAACACAGATTTTTTGGCAACCTGATAATGATTATGAGTAATTGTGCCATTAAAAACTCTCCTTCTCACCCTGGAGCAGAAAAACGCTAGACATCAAAATCTATGGTAAACAACGCCTAACAAATACCTTTTCGGTAACTCAAAACAGTTTTGAGCAAGCGCTAGAAGCTGCTGATTGACCCCTTTGATAATTCAAACTTTCTTTGACCAAAAAAAATGAAACCGAACATAAAATCGTAATCAAACCGACCAAGCGATGCAAAACAAATGAAAAAATTTTTACTGGGCGTTCATATGACCTTCCCAGCACTTTTTATCCAAAAAGCAAAAAAGTCGTCAGTCGTCAAAGACTCGAACCCCTAACCACTAGATTGGTATGCCAAGTACTTGCCGACTACACCACGCCACCAATGGGTCCCTTGCCCTGGGGAAGGGCTTTGAGGCATGGCGGCAAATCATGGCAAAACTTTAAAGCTGTTTTTAACACTGTTCCTGTGGATTTGGGCAAAAATAAATAGCGGTATCGTTATCAGCGTAAAAAACTGCATCTGATAGGCTGTTTAGCTAATCGAAGCGGAACTTCGAGCTGGGGAGGTATCCTTGTAAGCCTAACAAGTAGTGTTGGTTTTTAGTCCAAAGTCCACGGACTTTTTCGGACTAAAAAGTCCGCGGACTAAAAAGTCCACGGACTTTTTCGGACTAAAAAGTCCGCGGACTAAAAAGTCCACGGACTTTTTCGGACTAAAAAGTCCGCGGACTAAAAAGTCCACGGACTTTTTCGGACTAAAAAAGTCCGCGGACTAAAAAGTCCACGGACTTTTTCGGACTAAAAAAGTCCGCGGACTAAAAAGTCCACGGACTTTTTCGGACTAAAAAAGTCCGCGGACTAAAAAGTCCACGGACTTTTTTCGGACTAAAAAAGTCCGCGGACTAAAAAGTCCACGGACTTTTTCGGACTAAAAAGTCCGCGGACTAAAAAGTCCACGGACTTTTTCGGACTAAAAAGTCCGCGGACTAAAAAGTCCACGGACTTTTTCGGACTGAAAAGTCCGCGGACTAAAAAGTCCACGGACTTTTTGGATCGCAAAAGTCCGCGGACTTTTTAGTCGTGGAGACTCGGGGGTTTTGAATTAAAAAGTCTGCGCCAGCATTTCCGCTTCCCATTCGTTTATGGCTCGACGAAAAAACCCGCAAACCATTTTTAATTGGCATTTCAATTGGCAGGCAAACCATTCTAAATGTGTTTTACTTAGCAAAACATTAAAAATGAAACTTTTAGTATTATAATATACCGTAATTAGTATTTTAACTTAACAGAGGGTACTTTATCATGAAATTTAGCTTGTTGCGGTCCATATACTCATGTATCGGGGCTTTATTGCTTATTTATAAACCGGTTTTTAGTCTTTAATTGAATTTAGCTATTATTTTATTAATATACTTTTTCTATTTGATACTGTTCTACCTTCACGTTCTTTGTTTGAACCCATTATTTACCAATTACGCGCTCTCCCCCTTAATTCTCAGGCTTTTCATGTATTTTATTGATTCATTCCTCGTTTAATACTTTGTTAGTAATCCGTAGTATTTTAAACTGGATTTAGTGGGGAAATACTTGAAATAGCACACATTCAGATACTAGTTTAATAACATGTCGGTAACTAGCGCCTTTTTCCGCGTCTTATACGTAGTAGTTCGTGCTTCTGCATCAACTGACCTTAAATCTGAAGTCAGACGTTGGTTAACGAAGGTTTTAAAGTATGTAAGCAGCAACAAGCTAACTTAAGCCAAGACTTGGAATAACGAAACCTTGTGCCTAACTTCCTGCTTAGGTCTACGTGAGATAGCCCTTTAGCATCCATTGCTATGAATGCGTTAGGTATACAAAAAGCATTCTCATTTGCTGCCGCTGACTGATGACTTGACGAGGCTGGCTGAAGATTCGTCGCTGACGTCGTCGATTGAGAGCGTGAAACGATTATTCAAAGTGAAAACGCCGACTGTAATAGGGAATCCTACTATATATAAAAAAATAGTGTCTGTGTGTGTGTGTGTGCCACTTTGCATGCAACTTCCGTCAGCGTGTTCCAGTAGTATCTTAATAAGGGGAGTAGTTAAGGACCTGTTTGATACGTCATTAGGTGCGTAATGGTCTGGGGATGACTGCACGCTAATAAAATTTTGAAAAATTACATGTTTTCGACGTTAAAATTAAGTTTTTGTTGAAAAATCGGCCAGCCTCTTTGTTAGGAAACAATTAGCATACGCCGGAAGTTGCGGTAGCCTATATAAGGGAAGAGAAGTAGCGTTTCTCATTTTTGTGATAGAAAATCGTGAGCATTATGCAAACTGAAGAATATCATGGGATCACACGGGGCCAGGGTTGAAAAGTCGCGAAGCGGCTTTTCAACCCTGGTATACCTTTAAATTAAACTCACCGACTTCCAGTTCAAGGATATGTGCTACAAAGGCAAGAACTACTATAATAATGGTATTATCATCCTGTTAAATGCAAGACAAAGCGTTAGAGGTTAGCAATCACTGCTTTACCCTATGAATAGTTGCTATTTAAAGTATTAACCAATATTACTAAAATATGAAAACCATGAAATACTAAAAGGTTGGACGAAATACCAGGAAGAAATTATTGTAACAAACGAAAAGCGTGAGAACTACGGAGCTAACGCGTTTTGAGTAGGTAACGTTTCAAATAAAAAGAACGCGCTTGTAGGATAATAGAATATTACTAAACTAATAGCTGAATATGCTTCAAATAAAGCATTTTCCTTAATAAATGTATTAAGAAACAAAACCCGGGTTAAAAAACTACAATAAAGCCCCGATACATGAGTATATGGACCGCAACAAGCTAAATTTCATGATAAAGTACCCTCTGTTAAGTTAAAATACTAATTACGGTATATTATAATACTAAAAGTTTCATTTTTAATGTTTTGCTAAGTAAAACACATTTAGAATGGTTTGCCTGCCAATTGAAATGCCAATTAAAAATGGTTTGCGGGTTTTTTCGTCGAGCCATAAACGAATGGGAAGCGGAAATGCTGGCGCAGACTTTTTAATTCAAAACCCCCGAGTCTCCACGACTAAAAAGTCCGCGGACTTTTGCGATCCAAAAAGTCCGTGGACTTTTTAGTCCGCGGACTTTTCAGTCCGAAAAAGTCCGTGGACTTTTTAGTCCGCGGACTTTTTAGTCCGAAAAAGTCCGTGGACTTTTTAGTCCGCGGACTTTTTAGTCCGAAAAAGTCCGTGGACTTTTTAGTCCGCGGACTTTTTAGTCCGAAAAAGTCCGTGGACTTTTTAGTCCGCGGACTTTTAGTCCGAAAAAGTCCGTGGACTTTTAGTCCGCGGACTTTTTTAGTCCGAAAAAGTCCGTGGACTTTTTAGTCCGCGGACTTTTTAGTCCGAAAAAGCCCGTGGACTTTGGACTAAAAACCAACACTACTAACAAGGGAACCTCGCGAAGACATGGTGGAATTTGGGAAAACGCTCGCGCCTACCCCCGGGTAATCGACCATTGCGATCACGATGCGCTTGTCAGATTTTTCTAAATAGACCTGTGGACAGAGATACAGCACTTCCGGAAAATGCTGATTTACATGCAAAAAATTTGCATAGAAGGATGGTTTATGAGGCTCTCCCATCACCATGGAATCACCAGTTGAATGGCCGAGTGGTAAGGGACTTGCTTGATAGGATTCTAACGAGGGTTCGAATCCGCTCACGATTTTTTGTTTTTGCTTTTTGCCAGAGATTTTTGTACAAGGTTCTATGTTATTGTTCTAGTTTCGGGGGCCCAAAAATTTTGGCGACCTCCCCCCCGTCGCCACTTTTAAAACTAGAGTTGTTATAACTCAAACAACAAACAACAAATTATTCAAACAACTCAAACAAATTTGCTTTGTTTGAGCTCGAAAAGTTTCAAACAAAACAGCCTTGTTTGATTTGAGTTCCAGGGGATCAAATCAAACAAGATTGTTTGACTTGTTTGAACTTGTTTGAACACCGTTAACTGTGAGATTTTTGGGGATTTTTGATGGATCGGAAGCGAATTCAAACATTCAAAAACAAATTTTACCTGGAAAATTTATGCAAATTGCGAAAATCCTGAAAAATCACACTTTAAATCCAAAATTAGCATACATTTCAAACAAGGTCAAACAAAGCTCAAACTGCTCAAATAGTTCAAACAATCTTGTTTTGTTTGAGCGATCAACGGTCATCTCAAACCAAACATGTTTGATTTGAATCTCCAAAAATCCTATCAAACAACGTTGTTCAAACAAGCTTGTTTGAGGCCTTGTTTTGTTTGAGTTATAACAACTCTATTTAAAACATCCGAAAATCGCGTCAATAATAGCGCCGCAGGCAAAAAAATAGCAAAAAAAGCGTTCGCTACACTCAAATTCGTGTGAAAACAAGGTAGAAACCGCGCCGCAGGCGAAAAATTTTTATGACAATTGATTCACCAATGAAAAACCAACAAAACAAAAAAATTTTGGAAAAATAGGCTTCATATAAGTACAAACTGTTTGAAAAGCAGTAATAAACAGCGCCGCAGGCAAAAAAATTTTTGTAATTAAAAATCATAAGGGTCCCCCCTTATGAATTTTTCAGACCTCGACCGATTTCGGGGGCCCGGCCCCTGGGCCCCCTCCTACGGGCCTGGTTACTAGTAATAGCCCGAAATCCCTAATGTTTAGCCATTAAAGACCAAAACAATCGAAAAATGAAAATCAGTTCTGCCGGCTAGACTCCCTACACCTGACCATCTGCAAAAATGAAAAATTTTACAAGAATAATTTTCTGACCACGTAACGTCGACAACTGTCATAAAATTTAGAAGTACTTTAGCCCGTATGATTTTGGACTTGTACAAAAATCTACGGCAAAAAGCAAAAACAAAAAATCGTGAGCGGATTCGAACCCTCGTTAGTATCCTATCAAGCAAGTCCCTTACCACTCGGCCATCCAATTGGTGATTCCATAGTGATGGGAGAGCCTCATAAACCATCCTTCCCCGCAAATTTTTTTGCATGTAAACCAGCATTTTCCGGAAGTGCTGTATCTCTGTCCACAGGTCTATTTAGAAAAATCTGACAAGCGCATCGTGATCGCAATGGTCGATTACCCGGGGGTAGCCGCGAGCGTTTTCCCAAATTCCACCATGTCTCCGCGAGGTTCCCTTGTAAGCTAGGCATAGTCAAAGCTAAGTTAAGCATAGGTAAGCTGAAAACCAAGCAGCTTACGCGGAGCGCCTCCTAATCCCGTAACTACCAATGCGGACTGCCCCCCCCTAACTGCATTAGCACCAAACTTACCTCTTTTGCAGGTAAAAAATGGAGCATCAGCCAGAAATTTTGACTTCCAAGCTTCACGCCACGAAGACGGATGAGGATTGGATCTAAAGGATACAATCTAAAGGACAACTAAATTAACTAAGGGATCTAAAGTCTGGGCCCGGCTGCTCAACAATTAACTGAAAGGGTTACGGTAGCTACGGGGACTCATTGAGACCTTCATCTATCACATGTCTGCTTCATTTCCTCGCCCATCTGTTTCTCTGATGAAAGGTTTTTATTCGAATTTACCCTCGCTTTCAATTCACATTTGGCACCGCGAGCAAACAACGGGGGAAAAGGGGGGATCACATTGGAGCAGCAGGAATTTCGGGAAATGGGGAAGAGAAGGCACTGTTGGGGCATAAAGACCGGGAAAGGAGACACAGAAACAAGTTAAGCTCATCAATGACTAGCGATTATATTAGATCACATCCAGGGATTGCACATGTACACACTTCACCAATAGAATTTTAATCGAAACCCACGGTACTAGATAATTTTAGAGGCTTTAAAAAATTTTTAGACTCGTCATGGGGTTTGGAAATGAATATTACAAACACGAAGAAAGATATAGAAAAAAACGCGTTAGTTGGTGAAGGACTAAACCGGGAAATTCAAGCCAGAAACAAATAGCAACCAAGCAAAAAAGAAAAGAAATCTGGGGACAACCTTAACCGTATCACACACACAAAATTGCTAAAATAGGCGCCTATTAATGTGGGGGCAGGGGCCGGGGCGGCGGGTGGAAGGTGTAGTCTGGTACGTGATTGTAGAATGGGTATGTGGGGTTGTTGAAGACCGGCATCAGCACCTCGTACATTACCACCAACACCAGCACTGCTCCCACGTAGCCCACCACCAGGTAGGTGAGCTCCTGGAAAGAGGGAATTAGGAAAGTGAAAGCTAGTTTTAGAAATAAAGTATTCTACAGGGAGTCCGAATTTTTCAAAAAAAAAACCCCTCTAACTCGACGCAGAAGTATCAGATCGGAATGATAGCTACACCATTGGAAAGCCCTTGAAATGGCGAGTTTGCAACAATTTTGAAAACCATGTTATTATTTAATTGCGCTGTTTTAGAAGTCATTTTGTAAGATTTTGAAATTTTTCGAGGTTGCATACGCGCTAATTTGCCTCAATTTCTCCAAGCAAAATGACCGGAAGCAGCCGTTAAAGATGCAGAGGCAGTTCCTTAAGGTTTTTAAATGCGTTGTAAAATAGCGCATTTAAATAAAAACGTAGTTTTGAAGATTGTTGCAAAATCGCCGTTTCAAGGGCTTGCGAATGGTGTACAAATCATGCCGATCCGACCTTTCTCCGGACCGCTAGAGGGGGGTCGATTGTTTTGAGGCACCCGGTACTTTTTTCGTTAATTTTTACCCAAAAAATAAAACGTATTTCAAGAGTAAATTACCAAATTAAAAAATTTCCCAAAAAATTTAAAGTCGAAACCTGTTTGGTAAGCGGCTCAACGTCCTTATCGTTAAGACCAAGATCATCGTCGAAATTCCAACACATCACGGATAACGGATACAATGTACAGGTGTCTTTCTTTACAATCGATCGGATAGGGTTGGATCCGACGTGGTCGGTGCCGGGTCTGTGGGCACGTAGTCTGGAGGGCTCGTCTGAAATTCGAGACCCCCATTACCGCGTATATTTCGCAAAGCAAACCTGTAACTGTGACGTAGAGGACGAAGAAGTGGCGGTGGGCCTCCCCTCGGCGGTGTCTCGATACTTGGCCGCTTGTGGGCTTCGATCAGATATCGATTGGAAGATGTCGTCAAGCGTCGTCTGGGACAGGGCAAAGTCCTCCACGACCACCGTCTCTTTCACCTGAAACTCAGAAGTTTTTGTGCAAAAGCTTGATGTACCTTGTTGACGTGATGCAATAGCTCGGCGACGCTGGCCACGCCGTCCGGGATATGCAGGAATACGGTAGAACAGTGGATGGCAGTCACCTGGAAATTGCACTTCAGAAAACTCTCAGAATCTGGGCGATTTTGTTCCTTACGAAAACCGGAAAGAACTTACGTTCTTTGTGAAATTGTTTTTATAACTTTCTAGCAATCAAAAACTACTAAAAACACCATAAAAATACATTACATATCATCATCAAGTGGAAAAGCAAAAAGTGGGCCCCCCCCCCCCCCCCCCTGCTAACAGTCCAGAACCCGAAAACCCTCGATCAATGTACAAAAATGAGTCAGGCCGGCAGGGGGCGTATTTTGTGCGCGGGGGGTCGTGCCGTCGGCGATGGCGCGAAATTTCTGTTTGGTGGGGGACGGCGGTGGGAAGAAGCGGGGCTGTTGGCTTCGTGGATTACCGGGGAGGAGTAGCTCGGTGGGGGGGCAGGCTTTATTTTTGGAGGACGGGAGGGTGCTGGTCACTTTGCGGCGGGCTGAGCCCATTTACAAACACGAGTATTGGAATGGCACGTAGCACAGATCGTCGTCCGATGTTTAGAACCATCAGTCATCTTTGATCGCTCATTCGAGACAAGTTTTGTCAGAGTTTCGAAATGGGCCCAAGCCTAGTTTGTGCAGAATTTTTCGCTGATTAAAACCCCGTTTTCAGAATCGACGAAACGACCATATTTCAAAAGTTATGAAGCCTTAAAGTACGAAAAATGCCCAAAATGGTCAACTTTTGCGGTGTTTGGCTTTTTAGAACGTCATAACTTTCCTATTTTGTTCGTTTCGCAGATTCTGAAAACGAGGTTTTGATCAGCAAAAAATTCTGCGCAAAATGGGCTTGGTTCCATTTAGAAACTAAAAGAACTAAGAAAAGTCTCTATAAATAAAGCGTCAAAGAATCCAATCCGAACCTGTGCCTGCGGGATCCCGAGGAGTAGTATTTCAGCCGCCTGCTCCGCTCCACGTGCATCCGGCGTCTTCAGGGAGAGCGTGTAACCCTCGCCGAATTTTGTCTTCAAATGCTGCTTGGAGCCGACGCATCGGACCCGCCCATCGTCCATGATCGCGATTCGGGTGCAAAGCGCCTAAAATATAATTTTAGCAGGGTTAAGTCTCCTCACCTCGCATTCCTCCATCGAATGAGATGTAAGGACGACGGCCCGACCAGCTTTTCGAAGTCGAGTGACTACCGTCCAGAGGAATTGTTGGGATCCAGGGTCCATTCCGGCTGATGGTTCGTCCTAAAAAAAGGTTTAGCGATAACAAGGAGGCGTTTTTTAGTGTCCACGGAGTACAGAAATGGAACCAAGCCTCTTTTGTGCAGAATTTTTCGCTGATTAAAAACTCGTTTTCAGAATCACTAAAAAATCTCCTTGTAAGCAAAACTTACCAGCAATATGACCGGCGGTTGGCTGATCAGGGCGACGGCCACCGAAAGTTTCCGTTTGTTGCCACCTGACAGGTCTCCGGTCAACGTGTCGGCATAGGGGCGAAGGTGCAGCGATAGAAGCAAGGAAGATACGACCTAAAGCCTCGGGTTGCCCACAGAAATTCGGCAGCTTGCCTGCTTGATGTTGTGCTCCGGGATTCCGCGGATTCGCGCGTAGAAGACGAGCTGTTCCCGAGTGGTCAGTCTCATGTGGAGGGCGTCAAACTGTGGGCAGTAGCCGAGCCTTCGGAATCCCTCGGAATCGCCGTGGACCACTCTGAAAGTTCGTGAACTCGTTGTAAAGCTTGGCTAGCGTTACCTATGTCCGGCCATTTCGACCTCGCCATGGCCCAGCGCTTCCTTTCCCGTCAACATGCCGAACGTGGTCGTTTTTCCAGCGCCATTAACACCGAGGAGACCTGAGAAAAAGTAAAATTACATCCAAATTTTCTCACCAAAGCATTCGCCCGGCGCCACGGCAAAACTGACGCCCTTGACGGCCAGGTGAGAACCGTAGGTCTAAAAAAAACTGAATTTCTGCTGAATACGTACTTTTGCCAAATCGTAGACAACAAGGCCGGCGTGCTCTTGTTCGGTTCGGTGGGCTCGGATGGCGAGCACCTGAAACGGAAGCATTTTTTACGCAAAAGGAAGCTACTCGTTCACGTTCTCGCGACACGTCCTCATCTTCCTCGACACGGGACTTCTCCAGGGCACGAGTCGTACGGTATCGATCCAGGCGTCTAAAAAGTGGATATTTTTGGCGAGATCGCTGCCACTAACCTCAAAATGCCAAATCTGCCGTTCTCAACGACACAAAATATGACGAGTAGTACGATGGCTTGGCACTAAATCAAGCTAAAAGATGGCGTGTTCGAAAAGCGTACCACGAGTGCAAAGACATGTCTCCCCATCAGATCCCATTCGAGGAGGCTCGGCAGCGGAATATGCGTGATCTGGTCCTCTCGATTCAAGCCAACTAAATCGAGATGGTTTTTGCTGTTTCACCAATACAAGCTTACCCAGGATCATCGTGGCAAAGTGGCGAATCTGGTAGACGAAAGAGCCCCTAAAAATGAGCATTAGGAAAGTAGCCACCACACACCTATAGACACCCATCCCGAGGTTGTATTGTGGGCTGAGGACGAGGAACAACACCGAACACACGTTGTAAGCGCCTTCCAGTGTCGCATCCTACAAGAAACCTGCGTTTCGGCACCCAACGTCTCGAACACCTGTTTCATCAACTGCTCGAGCACGATGATGACCATCGAGGTGACGACGCCGATGAAGAAGAGGCCGATGGAGATGAGGACAAACGCCAGGGAGGGGATTGAGAAGTGTCGTTGCAGAACGAAGACTAGCAACAGGGCACCGAGTCTGAAATGGGAGTGATAAAAGTCAAATTGGTTCTGGACTGTTAGCGGGGGGATTTTAGCAGGGAAACCTGTTGATGATATATTATGTATTTTTATAGTTTTTGAATGCTAGAAAGTTAGAAAAAAAAGAATTTTCAAAATTTTGGCCTTTTTTGATCGTTTTTCACACATTTTTCGCCAAAAAGTAAAATTTTCGAAAATTTATATAATTTTCTATATCGTTTTAATAACTAAAAACTATGGAAAACGCTATAAAAATGGCCGTAGATAATCACAAGGAAAAATTTGGTTCCCCCCGCTAACAGTCCAGCGCCGTCAAATTCTCACCCATAGATGAGGAACAGCGTCAGGAAAGACATGGCCGTGTGGAAATTGACGGTCAGTTCGTTGACGCCGACGATCGCGTACATGCCCAGCACGACGAAGCTCGCCAGGAGGAAGATCATCTACAAGCAGATCGATTCGTCAAAGCAAAACAATCCCTCACAAAGTCGAAGATGTATTCGACGGACCAGTACATCTTTCGCTTCATCCCAGATACCAGTTGAAGATGCATGCTGTGCGATTCTCTAAAATCATAGGATTTGCGTTTGAAGTCGTTCGTCAATCCCACCTGTCTGTCACCAAGAATGACGCAAATCCGGCCGGGATCACGCAGAACGTAAATGTCAACAGCACGATCCGAAACATGGCCAACATCAACCTAAAAATAACTTGTTATTTTGGGAGACACGAGGCCGCAAAAAAGTCCCCTTTCGCGATATTCGTCCAAAATGAATATAGAGGGTGTCTCAGAAAAAACCCCTCGGCATTTGGCCGTCTTCCCTCGGATCGGGACCAAATTTTTACCAGCGATGGGGACCCATACAATTTATATGCGGCCAAATTTTCTAAGCAAAATATTAGAAACAAAAAAAGTTATCGCCCAAAAAACTGATTTTCATAAAAAACCGGTACTTATCTTTGGCTTTCGCAATTGAGTAATTTGCAAAAAAGAGCTTTTCAGGTCGGTTTCAGCCAAATTTTGATAATAAAAAGCTATGAAAAACCCAAATTTAGACGTCATTTTCGTCAATCAAAAAATTTTCGGGGTGGAAAAAAGTGACCTCTTCATTTTTGCTAAACATTTCACGGCCGAAATCCGCCAAACCCCTAGTGAAATCGGAAAAACTAACCTTACTTTTGATATAACTTTTTTTGTTTTACAATATTTTGTTAAGAAATTCGGCCGCATATAATTATTATGGATACCATCACTGATCGAATTTTGGGACCGATTGGATGGAAGGCGGCGAAATGCCGGATTGTTCGTTTTTTCGGGCATCCTGTAGTCGCTGTAGTTCACGAAAGGGGCGCAATTTTGCGGGATTTTCACGGAAAACCTAGACAAGGGGCTTGACCAAAAACTACGCCGTTGACAAAACCAGGAAGAGACGACCAAAATCGGGGGACGAAGACAGAAAGACACTAAAAACACCAAAGGACATCGGACACTTGAGCGGCGTCGAATGAATCCTCCGCCGTTCGGTTCATCGGGTGGTTGAAGGTGACGATGCCCAGGTTGTCGGCATGTTCAGCTAAAATTTAAAATTCTTTTTAATAGAGGGAAAGTACCGAGCTGCGAGTTGTTGGCGGCGATGGCGCGAAGGAGGGCGTTGCTGATGGAGTTGTAGTAGATGGGCAGGGAGGGCCATACTTTGTTGTTGAACCACACCTAAAAATAGAATTTTATAATTTTTATAATAAGTAAATAAATAATAAATCAATAAGAATAAATAATTTTGAACTGCAATTTGCGAATCCAATTTCCCCACCTTCACATTTTCCTTTGTGTCCTGGTGGGCAAGGATGTCGCCGATCACCTGCTCGGTGGTTATATTCCCGGTGAAAGTGTCGTTGATCTGAACAAAACACGGTTAAAAGCGGATCTTCTGAATCGAAATTACCGTGGTCGAGTTTCCGGTCCACAACGTGCTGTTCAGGCCAAGCTCCAAGCCGGCAGCAGCCAGCTGAGAAAACTAAAAAACCCGGTACTTTAGGACCAAATTTTTTTTTCTTGGCAGCCGCGGTTGGCCTAGTAATCAACTATAGAGTGTTTTGACATTGTTTTTAGTAAGTTTGAACTATATTTAAAGCTGCAAAACTTTCAAAAAGGTTAGAAAAATGTTTGAAAAGTCCAAAATTCAGCCATTCTGGGTCGAAAAAATCGATTTTTCGAACTCAAATTGAATTTTTTTTATTGATTTATGCTTGTTAAAAGCCAAAACAATTTAGAAACGCACGCGCCTGTTCTAGAAAAATTTAGCTTAGGCGGAGAAAAATACCATATCCTGTATCCCTCCGAACAGCTCTTCGGCTTCTGTCCCATTGAGCGCTTGAACATTTTCGTGCCCCAGCGACCAGCCGCCCATTATCGAGTGCATATTTTCGTAAGAGTGGACGAAGCGTGTGATGAGACGATATTGGGTGATATTGCGCCCGGAGAGATCGCGGATCACATCGGTTGTGTTGGCCGAGAGGAAGTAGGGAAGTTCGGCGATCGGGTAGTCATCCTGAAGAGGATTGATTCAGGATTGTTGGCAATGCCCGAGCCTTCGTTTTAATCGATTTAATCGATTTAATTTCAAATTTTATTTAATTAAATAAAAATAAAAAATAATTTAATTTACCTGCGTACAAGTCCATCCCATGCCGGGATGACATCCGCAATCCGAATCGATGTTATACGGGATGCCGGTCAGGTTGTTGTCAAGCAGTTGAAAGGAATCATCTGCTGCCTCGTCCGGTCGATAGCAGGCCGGGTTGAAATGTCTAAAAATTAGTGTTATTTGGGGAATCATACTATTGCCTTGCCACTTTTGTGCCACTGTGCCACTGTGCCACTGTGCCACTATTGCCTTGCCACTCAAACGAAAAAACCCGTTGATTTTTGGGTCTGATTCGCGGCGGGGAATAATTTTCTCCTGGTTGGCCAATTAATCAAATATGAAGTGTTTTTACACTGTTTTTAGTAAGTTTTAACTATATTTAAAGTAGAAAACCTTCAAAAAAGTTGGAAAATGTTTGAAAAAGTCGAAAATTTGGTCGTTTGGGGCGCAAAAATCAATTTTTCAACCTAAAATTAAATTTTTTAATTACAATTTCTATGGTTTGATGCTTAGAAATAGCTAAAAACAATTTAGTCACGCATCCGCTATTCATAAAAATTTTTGGGTTTAACGAACCGATTTACTGAGAAAAAAAATCTTCAAACGTAAACGAGATTTCGGGAAAAATTAACGTATGCCCAAAAATACTGAAAGACCCCGGTACTAACAAAAATTTCAGATTGACATTTACACGAAACGAACGGACTACATCGAACAAATGCGCGTAAACACGAGACAACACGCACTTTGCACGGATTGAGCGAGGGCCGAGGGCGGAATTGGCCCGTCCGTGGTACTCGTAGTCCATGTGCTCGATCAGGGAGGCGGTTGGATGGTCTGTTGAAGGGTCGATCATCTCTCCCACCGTCTTCTTCTGCTTCTCATAGCCAGGCAATTGCCCGCGAACCGGCACCCTCCGACCATACGGCATCAGCACTGTACCGTTGTCTGCTCTGAAAAAGGACACCACATCCACAAAACGTAACGGAACAGTGATACGGTACTAAAAAAACGGACAAACACACTACAACATTTTTGCCCTGAAACTAAAACGTAACGACATCCACACGCAATTTGAGGGTGATAACGGAAGTAACCAAATGTACAGCGCGTGCCCCTTACTCTTCGCTAGCATTTTGCGCAGTTCCAACTCTCGCCTGGACGATCATACTAAAGTGATTCGCGGTTAATTCGGATCCAAAAACTCGTTTGAATCGTAAAAACGGCTTATTTTCAAAATGCAAAAAATCATAATGCCGAAATCCATAATGTCGAAATTTCATAATGTCGAAATTCAGAATGTTGACATTTACGTAAGCTCATATTCCCGGTAAAACCCCGAATCTGGACAAAAAAATTTCGACATTCTGAATTTCGACATCATGAAATTCGACATTGTGAAAGTAAATCGTAAAAGACGTACTCTACGGTGTAGGGGAGACAGCGCACGCCGACGCCTGGCACTTCTTCAAATGTTTCGACCATTCGCACCGGCCAAGTCCCCTCTTTCCGGGGGCTGACAATGCTGAAAATAGGCAAGATTGGGTAGAAAAGCCGTTGCATGCCTGAGATAGCTCTCCGCGCCATCGCCAAAGAGTGCCGTAGTGAGGACGAGGGGTGGGGCGGCAATGTTGTTCGCCCATCGGCTGTACACCTTCGGATTTCCGATGTACTTTGAATACAGCTCGGCGCCGAGTAGGAGCAGGACAGGCAAGAAGATCTGAACACATGTAAGATCGACGAGCAGGTTCTGGACTGTTAGCGGGGGGTTCCCTGTGATTCTCTACGGCCCCATAATTAAATAGAAACCCTTTTTATAGCATCTTACATAGTTTTTAGATAGAAAAAAATTATTAAAAATCATAAAAACTTTCGACAATTTGTGACTTAAATGTATGAAAAATGAACAAAAAAGTCAATTTTCGAATTTTAAAAATTAAAAAATATTTTTTAGAACTTTCTTGCAATCAAAAACTACTAAAAACTATAAAAATACAAAATATATCAACAACAGGTGGAAAAACAGAAAGTGGTCTCCCCCCCGCTAACAGTTCAGAACCGACCACCAAAGCACACCTGGAAAAAGAAGGTGCGCCAACTGCGCTTGGCGAACAGCGTTTTGGCTGCGAACAGGGCCCTGGCGTGTGCGATGTTCAGATGAGACGTTGAGGTATCGAGGGGAACTGGGGTTTCTGAAGAAGATAAAGACATTTTATCGTGTCTTACCTAGCCAACTGGCTTCCTTTTCGACGACGGCATCTACAACTTCGATGGGGGCGTCAATCCGTGCGGTGCCTGAAGCTCGTTTACATATCCGCCCAAGCCCCCATACCTTCAGTTCCATGGATCAGCGTCTGATTGCAGTCTTCAACGGATTGTCTCTGTAAACGCATATTATAAAACCGCTTTAATAATTATTGATTGTTTGGCCAGTTACTCTACTCCTCACTGAACGACATCAATAAGTGGGGATATTGAAAAGCGGGCCGAACCGGTCAAGACACTCAAGCAAATCAGAAATCTATGAGGTGATGCTGGGTGGTGCATGGCACACTTACCCTAGCGTAGAGGCGGCCACGCTGAACGACACAAGGTGTATTTCTTTATTTTAACGAACCCACAGTTGTTAGAGAAAAAAAATATTCTTTTTTCTTTCTTCTTTTTTCGTTTTTCAGAATCGCAATACTTTGGGCCGTAATTTTGTAAAAAAATACCTGACAGAGACGGCCACGACAGCATAGAGCATCGTAAATTCGGCGCATCGGCCCCTTCATCCTTTGCAGCTTGTACTCGTTCTGCGGGGCTAGGCTGACAAAGATCTAAAGGACTGATTCCTGCAACGATTCATCAAATTCTGAGAACCTGCTGTAGTGACGGGGCTTGTATTCCGTAGCTGGAGAACCCAAGGGCATCCATGACTTTATCCAATGATTCGAAGAACTTCTGAAGGCTGTGGCTGGAGGTGGCGATCGGGATGTGGTAGATCATCTGAAAAACTCGGATTATAAAAATACGATACGAATTTCTTTCAAAAGTTGAAATCATAATGTCGCAATGTCGAAATTTATGAAGTTTCAAAATGTCGAAATTTACATAAGCTATTTTTCCGGAAAATCCCGAATCCGATGCAAAAAAATTTCGACACATCGAAGTTTCGACATTCTGAATTTTCGATATTATGAATTTTCGACACTATGATTTTCAACATAGAAAATCTAAAAATACTATGTAAATTACCTCTTCTTCCGTCTCTTCCACAAAGCGACACTTGATATCGGTGGCGACATCATCAAGTGGCCGCTGCAGTTCCAAAGGAGAACGATTCTTCTGCAAAAAAAAAAACAGATAATCGGATTTAGAGACACTAAACCTTGATCAGGATCAGTGTGTAGCTGTGACCATGACAGCGTTTCAGGTAGACGCTACTTCCCAGGGCCTAAAAAATCCATCGTTTAGAAGAAACCAAGATTTTAGGTTATAAAAGGCTGTGAAAAGTCCAGCGACTTACCTTCAATTTACCCTCTGAGAGGATAGCGATCCGATCGGCCAGCACATCGGCTTCATCCATGTGGTGAGTCGAGAGGAGGATCGTCCGGTCTGTAACAGCATTCGTCAGTCGACCGAATTCTTGCAAACCTTTTTTATGCTTCAGCAACAGCCTCCAAATTTCCTTGCGCGAGTTCACGTCTACCTGGAAAGGCTTGACGTTAGCAAGAGAATAAATCAATACCCCGGCCGTCGGTTCATCCAGAATCACGAATTTCGAACCACCGATGAGGGCGATGCCGATGGAAAGTCTTCGCTTCATCCCACCTAAAAAGGTGATGACTAGATATTTTATGCCTCACCAGAAAGCGTTTCTGCGAGTTTGTCACGTTTCTCCCATAAGCTGACGCTATCCATGATGTTGTTGACTTCTTCCTCCGTATCCTGAGAAAACCAATCCATTTAGAGTCCCGGATCTTACCTCATCAGAAACGCCCTTCAGGACCGCGTAGAGACGGAGCTGCTCACGGACGGTCAAACTGAAAATTGGCTTTAGGTGAGGAGATCGGTGGTGGGCCATACTGTGGGAAGAGGACGTTATGCTGGGGGCAGATTCCGAGCACATCACGGACATTGCGCATATTCTTTCGGATATCGTGGCCATATATCTAAAATCAGATAAGACAAAACTTTTCAATGACCCACCGTAGCCGTCCCCGAGCTTGGCCCGTAGAGACCACAAAGGAGTGACCTGAAGCCAGAATTCTTTATACAGGGTGTCCCAAAAAGACCCCTCTAGCGGGCCGCAGTGATGTCCGATTTTTACGATTGAGGTATCTATCGAAAGCTCTCGACGAGCGGAGGAGATAAGTTCTCTCCGATTTTTGAAATTCCCGAACCTTGATAACATTTACTAACATTTTTGCGAAACTGGCTGAATTTTCTATGCTTGCTCCTATGCAGGTGTGTTTGGCAATACCTCCATTTCCCAAATCTACATCTTTACATCTTTCCTGGCAGCTCATGGTCGGCTTTTTGAAAGGAATCTGAGAAAACACCGCTTGGATGGGACTGAAAAGCCGCTTAAATTGAGTTGTTGCAGAAATTTGGGTAACTTGGGCATAAAAACCGATGAAAATCGGGTTAAAAATTCGCGTATTTAAAAATCGAAAAAACCTATCTCCTCAGCTCGTCGAGAGCTTTCGATAGATATCTAAATCGTCAAAATCGGACATCCCTGCGGACCGCTAGAGGGGGTATTTTTTGGGACACCCAGTATACGAAATTCCTTACATCGTCGTAGTTTTTCCAGCGCCATTGTGCCCGAGCAGCGCCGTAATTTGACCCTCATAAAGCCGCAGCGTCAGCTCATCGAGCTGAAAATGATTTTTTGATCTAAATAAGTAAAACTCACCGCTTTGACCTGACTCGAATATACTTTGGTGAGATCGGCAATGTCGACTTGACAGACGCCCTCCCGGGGTTCCGACTCAAAGCCAAGTGATTCTACAAAAAAACGCAAAATAATTACAAAACGAAGCTCGTACCGTCATACAACGGGCCGCCGGAATTGGAGGAAGCCTCTTCGGTAACGTTGAAACGCTGGGGCATCCAGTATCGAAGGGTGAAAGGGAAGTACCAACGCTGCCCCACGCCGTAGACGCCTAAATGTTGCATGCGCTGCGTAATAAGAAATAAACATTACTGCACTTACAGGGAGACTTTTTTTAGTGTACACGGAGTTTCCAATGGGACCAAGCCTATTTTGTGCAGAATTTTTCGCTGATCAAATCTTCCTTTTTAGAATCTGCGAAACGACCATATTTCAAAAGTTACGAAACTTTAAATTGTGAAAAACGCCCAAAATGGACAACTTTTGCCGTTTTTCGCCTTTTATATCGTCATGACTTTTTTATTTCGCTCGTTTCGCAGATTCTGAAAACAAGGGTTAAATCAGCGAAAAATTCCTCAGAAAATAGGATTGGTCCGATTTCGAAACTCCGTCGCCACTAGAAACGCCCCCCTTGTTAGCTCTATACCAACCTGGGAATAATGCCGAGATGTACCAGGCCAGGATCGAGAAGAAGATTGTATGAAACCCGAGAGCCAACATTACTTCCCACATTTTCACGTCCATTTCTGAACATAAGTTTTGAAAAGAATATGGATAGAAAAACAGACGAGCAATAGCCATGCGGTGAACATATTTCCATTGGGCCACATCCTCCTTGTTCGCCGATCCGATCATTTGGAAGGCATAGCCGATTGCAGATTGGGGGAGTAACAACTACAAATACATAGATGACGTCTAGAAGCGGGGGATACGATACCGTAGCCTTGGAGTAGGCTTTGGAGACGATGCTCTTCGACAGCATGAACGGAAACGAGAAAAGCAGACACATCAGTGCTGTCGCCGCGGTGGCAATGTTTGAGCTTCTGGAAAATTCGGATACATCCATAACCAGAAAATTTACGAGAAAAATGTCGTGAGCAGCAACGATTGTGCTATTGAAGAGAAGGCGAACAAGGTCAGCAAGAAAAACAGCAGTGACGGGTCGGTGTGGCCGAGAATATTACCGGCCTGTAAATTGTTGTCGTTAGGAAGTTAAAACGCTGGTGTACCCATAGAATGATGGTGATCAACAGGGCGGAGATGATGTTCAGCACCAGCGATAAAATTGCCCATGAAATGAAGTGGATGGTGTCGCCAAGGCCCATAATGCGCATTAGTTCCTGAAAATATGTTTTGATAGAATAATTAGTTAGGGGGTCAAGGTACCTTCAGCTTGTGCTCCTTTTCATAAACAATATTCTTGACAAGCATCGCCGAAGGGATGATCCATGATAATACGACAAAGAAGGAAAGAAATCCGGTGACGTCGAATCTAGATAGAATTAACCGTGGCCCGAAAAAGCTTACTGGTCTTGGAGCACGCAAGGGTAGGGCTCTTGTTGCGAGTATACGCCGAGAGGGACGGATTCATTCGTCTGAAAAACACAATTGATACCGCATTAAAAACATGCCACAAGCCGGATGATAGCCCGATCGACGGCTTCTTGCAGGAAGGACCATCCAAACGTCAGGTATTTCATATCTTCTAGTGGGTGGTTCCTCGGCTCGACGTTTTTGTTCGAGTCGGCGATGCTGTCCGTGCCTAAAAACAGGTTTATTATTGCAGAGTTTACTCGGACCAACCGTCCACAAGCTGCTGGGCGTGTCGAATCTTGTAAACGGTAGTATTCGTGAAATCCGTAGCATCAGGGTTCATTTCCTGTAAACGGGAGATTAATTGCGCGGCCAGAAACTAACTGGAAAAACGAGAGCACTAAAGTACTGCTGACGGGGCTGTAGGCAAATCGACAGCTCTTCCAGCCGGCTCTCATTTGACACGAAACGGAATCGATCCGTCATGAAGCACTAGACAAAGTTTTTTAGATGCCAGAAGTGAGACTACTGACCTTTCCATATTTATCGATGGTACTCATGATATCGCCCAACCTCGTCCCGAAAGCCCCGGATTGCCCTTCCGGCCCGAGCAACTGTTTCACCTCATCTACCGTCGCGGAACTAATGTATTCATATTTGTAGAGAAGGTCCATCAGGTTCTAAATCAATTTTGATTCAAAGGAAAATCATGCATACCGCAAGACCATGCGCCAATTGGCTGTCGTGAAGCACTTTTTGGAAAGGACCGCTGATACCGGCCAGCTGCTTCACAGTGTCCATCAACTTTTGCATTTCCCGTAATGGGGCCTCCAGCTAAATCGTCGTTTTTTTTACTTTCTATCTTCCACAAACTTTTTCGACAAGTTGCCGGGTCGCGATGTTGTCCGGGGTGACAAGGATAAAGCCGGAGAGCAGCGGACGAAGCTGGCGGATTGCTTGTGACTCAAGTTCGGAGCATGCCAAGTCTGTAAATGCTTTGAATTTCAGATGAAAGCCTCAGAATACCGTCATGCAATTTGATGTCGCCGCAATGGGTTTGGTTAGTGCCCTGATCGTGGCCAGGCGTTAGGTTTGAGACAAAGCTGAAAAAAGAATAAAAAATTCAGAACGGCTGTGATATTTCTGAAACAAGCAAAATGCCAATTGTAGCACCCACTTGATCACCGGAGCGAATACTTTGTCGAACACTGTGGTCACTTTGTGTTGCGGAGGCACATTCGAAGAGGCTTCCGTATTCACTAAAAAGTTTTGATTTTAAAGGATTCTGGTTCTTCAGGATTCGCGGTGGGGGAGTATTCCCGAGGCAAAACCAAATTTTTTCGGTTTCGATTTTTTTTTGGAATTAGCGGATGCATTTTTTCTACATTGTTTTTTACTATTCCTAAACATAAAAACTTTACAAATTTTAATTTTAGGTAGGAAAGTGATTTTTTCGACCCATAATGACCAACTTTCCGACTTTTTGAAACATTTTGCTAACTTTTTTGAAAGTTTTTCTGCTTTAAATATAGTTAAAACTTGCTAAAACACTGTAAAAACCTTTTATATTCGATTACTACGTCAACCGGGACCGCCAGGGAAAAAATTGGTCCCCCGGGAATCCTAAAGTACCGAGTTTCAACGGCTAAAACATACAAGGGTCCTGGCCGCAGAAGAAGTGATCGTAGAGACTCTGCTTGTCACTAGCGTTGAAACCGCGCCACATCTCCGCTATGTTGACGAGTGGATCAAACATGTGAAGGATATCGCCGATGCGCGAAGATAACTTTCCCAGCCGGCTCGGCGACAGACCCAATGCCTCGAACTAAAAATTGAACTGCTTCGAGAGGTCGGCATATTTTCCTACTTGTTCTCTAACGGCTCTCTGGTCCAGCTTTCCGGCCAGCCAGCCCAAATCCGCGCCTCGCAGCCCGCAGACACGTTGATAATCATCTTCGGTCATGCTGAAAATGGTTTTTCCAGATAATAAAACTAAGCGTCTACTTGAAGCCCGCCGGAAACGAGAACGAATCGTCAAAAACAGTGCGGTTGCAGAACATCGGCACTTCTTCCCAGGCGGACAGCACCAAGTCGAATAGATCATCACCCTGGTGAGTGGTAACCTATTGGGAATTTGATTAGTTTTGGACAGTCTCCTACATATTCACGGAGTTCCAGCATTCCTCGGGGTGTGATGTAGGCCCCGGCCATGGCGTCGGCCATTTCGGGTGAGAGGTCAAGACTTCGGAAGTGTTTGGCTGTTTTGCGCTTCTCGAACAACTAGAAATGAAAATAGATCAAGTAGTATAAAAATAGATACCATATCCATTCGAAGGCCTTCATGGTTGGCGAGAAATTTCAGCACAGCCACGCTTACGCCCACCATGTCGTTGAACAGCGCCTATAAAAGTATCAAAATCTGGGTAAAGCAGCTGGTATTTCCGCTAACCTGTTCCGATCCAATATTCTCAAACTGGGTTGTCAATTCGCGAACACTTCTGACCAGGCTGAAAAAAATAGGTGAACGGAGACAAAAATAGCAGATGATGTGGTTCTTTAGGATTCACGGGGGGAACCAAATTTTTTTTTCTGGCGGTCCGCTTGACCTAGTCATCAAATATAAAGTGTTTTTAAATTGTTTTTAGTAAGTTTTAACTATATTCAAGAAAAAAAAACTTTCAAAAAAATTAGAAAAATGTTTGGAAAAGCCGAAAAATGGTCATTTTGGGTCGAAATGGGTCACTCCCCCCCCGCGAATTCTAAAGAACCATGTTATTAAAAGTCTTGAAAACGTACGCGGATTGATTGGATGTATCCTCGTTAATGAGAAAGCCTTCATCGCCAGTGGTGACCCGTTGGTAGCATTTATTGTTGATCGAACAGAGAAAGGATTGGGTGAAGGGCAGGAGGCCTGCCGACGGGAAGCCTTTTGAGTCGAAATGGCCTAAAGACGATGCTTATAATGTCCAGAATTTAGAACTCACATTCAACTCCTTCGGTCGCGAAGTGAAAGAGCCGGATAATAGCGAGGATGATGAAGAGCACGAGCGGAGTCACAAGCTCTGCCACAAACCATTTCTAAAATAATATACAAAAAATATGAGCTACGGCTCACCTTTTGCCGCTTCTTCACCAAATACCCCTTCCAGAGCAGGTATCGCAGCTGACGCCAAATCGAGATCATATCTGGAAATAGTCAAAATAAACTTTTCATCAAAAAACTCACACTATACTCGTTGAAGGACCCGCTTCAATTCCGTTGCATTAGCTGAAGTCACTGGCTGAAAAAAATGTATGAGGGCGATAAAAGTACAATAAAGAAATAGTGGAAAACCAGATACATCAATTTCCATCGGAATTCAAAGCAGACTAGCGCGATAAGATAGTTGCCGCCGGTCTACAAAAACAATTCTGTTTACAAAATGAAATATGAGAAGCCGATAAGGACTGTTGTCGCGAACAACGTAAACTAAACTAACAAGGAGACTTTTTTAGCGTCCACGGAGTTTTGAAATGTCACCAAGCCTATTTTGTGCAGAATTTATTGCCGTTTCAAACTTACATTTTAGGATCTGCGAAACGACTATATTTCAAAAGTTAGGTATCTTTAAATTTTGAAAAATTCCCAAAATGCACAACTTTTGCCGCTTTTCGCCGTCATACCTTTCTTATTTCGATTCGGAAAACGAGGTTTCAATCAGCAAAAAAAATCTGCACAAAACAGGCTTGGTTCCATTTCGAAGCTACGTGGACACTCAAAAATGTCTCCTTGTAAGAACTAAAAGAGAATTCTAAATTATTTTCGCAGGCCACACCAATTCAGAATTTTAAAGGGATAGAGCCTGGTCCACGGCACTCCGTTCGTCATTTCGAAAACTAAAAAACTAAAAATTCCGCAGGCACCGTCGAAATTCGGAGTGCAAACTAGCAACCACCAAAGATGCCGTTCAAAATAAGTGGTGGACACTCGAAATGCCGGAGAAATGATTACATTGGACCGGGCCCACGCCAGAAGTGCAAATATGTGTGGTGAGGAAACGCGGCAGCCAACAGCTGAGGCGACAACTAGCTTTGCTTCAATCGCGCAAAATCGATGCAGCTATCAGAAAAAGGTAGGTGGCCTTGTGAATATAGTCACCCCACGCTGTTCGACCGGAAATATACAGACTAGAGGCTGGCGAATTAAACAAAGCACCCATTTCAGTACAAGGCAAGCGTCTCGGTGTTGCCGAGAGCCCATGTGGTGTTTGTATTTCGCCTAGTGTGACTATTTGCAAACAGACCGCTCGGCCCCTATCCATAAAAGTTCAATTGGGGGAAAACAGAATTTGCAAGACGCCAAAATCGTTAGGTCAAAAGCTTTTTGTAATCATGTTACGGGACCGTTGGAACGAGTGACTCATGCTCATCCCTTATCAGGGCCGACGTTTACATTATTCGGCGTCATTCGATCGCTCTGTCTGATCAGGGGCGACAAAAATAACATGAGCAAAAGTAAAAAGAGCAATGCGGGGGTTTTTCAGCCGGGGTTCAAACAAAATGCTTGCCCTGGACCCTGCAAAAGGGATGATGATCCACAGGTGATAGCTCATTTCCGGGTACGAGAGCGGTTGGGGGACAGACAGACAACAGTTTAGTAAGGTTGGGGAAAAGAAATTTATCAATCAGCAGAACGCACATAGTTCCAGATCTAAAAAAAGAAAAGTGATCGAAATTCAAACCCTATGGACCCAAAACTGAACTCGAATTGATTGGCTGGCTCGGGAGTAAACTGGCCGGGGAACCTAAACTCTATCGGGTGGTTAATTACCGGGGCTGACACATGCCGAATCCCGAGGTTAAGCCGAATGCTGCCGCCCCGAAAAAGACTAACACGCGATTTTTGTTCGGTGGGAACGCCGCGAATCGTTCACAATATTGCTCGTCGATGCTCAAAGCAAAATAATATTATGCAGAAAGGTGTGGAAGAGCGGAAATAGCCGAGTCTAGCGGGTTTAAAAAAAACTCGATCAGCCGCCGGAAATGATCAATGGAGACTGGCCGTATCGACGGTGCGCTATGTGTGCTAGGCTCTATTTGTTTTACACGACTAGTAAAGCCCGTCAAGAAAGAGAGCCACGCCATTTCGGGGGTTTTTCGCTGCCCCAATGATTGCTCATGAACGAAACTGATTCATATTTTCAAAAAGAACCATCGTTCTTCATGAAAGGTTGGATCAAACGCGTTGGAGTTATTAAAAAGCGGCATACTGGAAAAGAATGTTATAAAGTATTTTCAGGTCGCTATGGAAAATCGGTTCGTAAGCTCAATAAGAAAATGAGGAAGGACTAAATTCATGGGCCTCGCTAGTTTAGCAAAAAATTGGGCAGCCATACGGCTCATTATGACGCCGAGACGGGTGTAATTTGCGGCCGGGTTGCGCGACAAAAAAAATCGCCTGGGTTACCAAGCAGTAGCCGGCTCCCAGGGGTGGTGATTGTCTAAATTTTTCTGGAGTAGGAGCGACGGAATTCTAACTGTTTTTGTTTACCTTTAAAACGTCAAATTGAAAGTCACAAAACTCAAGTGCAAAGTCAACGGCAAAATCGGTAATCGGAGATCCTAGGCACGGCTCGGTCACTCCCAAACATCAAACGCCCGTCTCCAAGAACATCCCCTCGGGCTTTTGGATAGCTAGGGAGGTAGAGCGGGCTTCTTCTTTGCGCGCCTCCCGAAAAGAATGTCCTTATGCGGAGAGCTCAGCCGCCCAAAAAAGGCGTTGCGGAGGGCCTGGCCACAACGCACAAATATTCCACCCTCTTTCTGCTGCATAAATCTCGCGTGTGGTGGACCATGATTTCGTCATTTCAGCTTTATTTACAGCACACATGGAATGAAGATCAAAAATAAATATACCCGAAAGAGGAAACCTTCAAACAACGCTTTGCTTCAACATTGACGTCTCGTACATCTTCTTGCCGCACATTGCGCAAATTCCCTTCTGGTAGGCGCATGTTTGGCAGAAGTTGGAGCCAACCTGGAAACAAGAGAGTTATTTATTACAAAAATGACGAACCTGGTGAACATTCTGCTTGCATACTCGGCACTTCACACCAACCATACCGGCTCTAAAAATAAACATATAAGATTCTTTAGGATTCGCGAGGGGACCAATTTTTTTTCCTGGCGGCCCCGGTTAGCCCAGTAATCGACTATAAAGTATTTTTACATTGTTTCTAGCAAGATTCGACTATATTTAAAGTAGAAAAACTTTCATAAAAGTTAGAAAATGTTTGAAAAGACGAAAATTTGGTCGCTTTGGGTCGAAGAGTTCCTTTCCTATAGATTCCTAAAAATCAAAAATATAGACTACTTCCCCGCGAATTCTAAACAACCAAAGACACTTATAGTTACTCACTTTTTGTCACTTCCAAGCGCCTTGTTCTTCAAGCCGGTAGCCTTGGTCTTCGTGACGCCGCCGAGTTTGTTGTGGGCCTTATTCCGCAGTGGATCGACGCCGATTAACTTGGACAGTTTTGGTTGGCCTAAAAGACTTTATCAGAAACCGGAAAAGGCTTACATTTATCGCAGACCATAGCAGAACAACCTCAACGTCCTGTTGTGAATATTCTAGTATAAGCTGAAAGCACGATGAATTTGTAGACAGGATTTAATATATAAAAAAAGCGACCGGGATAATCCTCCTGTATCGTTTTTACGCGAGATACTCATTAATTAACGTACAGATTTATTCATAGAAAAGGACAAATAACTTGACTATAAAAATGTGCTAAGCTATTGCTTGGTTTTCTAATCCCTCTGCACGCCGGCCGCATACTTGAGTTCGGGCAGGAGATACGGGGCCGGATATTCTTCGGGCCTAAAAGATTCAAGTTTGCAAATGGGCAGAAATTCTCACTTTCTCCAGTAGCTGACGAGAGGATCGTCGGGCCGGTACACCGCGTAGTAACCCCTGTAGTATGGCTTGTCTCCTTGCTTCGAATACCTGAAAAATTCATAAGCATTTATGACGTCTAAAACGTAAATAAAACAGCCTTTTTTGAATACCCTTTTATGCGCCCTTACAAATGGACGTTTTCTAAGTGACAAGCAAGTTTCCATACGGGATCAAACCTGGCTTGTGTAGAATTTTACGCTGATTCCGAACGCGGATTTCAAAAGCTGCGAAACGATTAGATTTGAAAAATTATGCAGCTTTTCAGAGCAAAAAGGAAAAAATCTGGAATTGGGCCATTTTAGGCCTTTTTCGAAAATCAAACCATGATACATTTTTAAATCTAATCGTTTCGCAGTTTCTGAAACCAGGTACGGAATCAGCGCTAAATTCTGCACAAGACAGGTTTGATCGGGTGGGTGCCAGAAGCCCGCAGGCAGAAGCCCGATAGTACCAAATGCCCGCAGGCAAAAAGCCCGAAGGCAGATGCCCGAAGGCAAAAGCCCGAACGGTCAAAAGCCCGCACGGTCAAAAACCCGAATGGACAAAAGCCCGCACGGACAAATGCCCGAACGGTCAAAAGCCCGCCATACATTTCCGTTCTCACAAAAAAAGATCACCAAAAAGTGGATACGTCTTTTTTTGAAGTGTAATTATTTCAAAAAAGATAGAGATTCAAAAAAGCTTCAATACTTTCGTTATTCCAATAAGTTGTTTGTTTGTCTATAAAATGTTGTTGCTCAATCTCTAGCTTTTGAAATAATTAGACTGGAAAACAGCAGAAGATGATGAGTTTTTGGTACGGAAGTGACTATCGAGTGCGGAAGGAACGACTACAAATGACGTACGAACCCTGGAGAGATTTTCCATCGCTCAGGAAAAATGGTTGTTTGTGGCGGACGGAAATGTATGGCGGGCTTTTGACCGTTCGGGCATTTGTCCGTGCGGGCTTTTGTCCATTCGGGTTTTTGACCGTGCGGGCTTTTGACCGTTCGGGCTTTTTGCCTTCGGGCATCTGCCTTCGGGCTTTTGCCTGCGGGCATTTGGTACTATCGGGCTTCTGCCTGCGGGCTTCTGTCACCCACCCGTTTGATCCCGTACGGCAATTCAATTGTCACTAAAAACGTCTCGTTGTTAGAAATAACACCCTCCTGCAAATAATGCTCTGCAAAAAATGCCAACGTATATAAAAAAAGACAGAAGGACGCGAAAGGGCGATAATACAAGCTGCCGAGAAAATCGTTAGTCTGATCGCACGGCGAATTTTTTGAAGGTCAAAAGGCAGATGTGCTTGACGCGCAATCACGCCCTCGCTACTTTCAACGCACTTTTCAAGTTAATTATCAAAATACCAACCAGTCAAGCTTGTAGAGAAGGATGCCGATGGTGGGCGGGATGAGCATCGTGGCCGTGATCGTTTGTTCAGGGAACTTCCGGATCAAATTGTGGTAGTAGGCCTTCCAGTAGAGGAGGAAGCGGCCGGCTCGCTCTGCCATCCCTGGAAAATGTGAAGATTACAAGATATTGTAATAACTTAAAAAGAATAATGATAAAGAATGAATAAAAGTAAGGTTTTTTACTAATAAAAGTTTTTGCTGTGGAGATCGCAAAGCTTGGAATGCTTTACCCTCCGGTGGCTCCTATCGACGCGCATAACCCGCCCGTCGTGTACCTTGGATTTGCTCAAAATAAAAACTGTGGTTTTCATCACTTCTTTTAAAATTCTTTAAAATTTAAATAAAAGAAAATAAACTAAAACCGATTAATAAAGGCAATTAGTAAAGTACAGCCGTTAAAACCAGCACTGCCGGATAGAAATAGTGGGCGCAGGGAGAGAGCGCAGACATTTTTCTCGGCCTCTCTCTCCCTTTTCCTTACTATCTCGAAACGGCTGTTCCGGCTGTACTATACAAATGGCCCTAAAACTCAATAATAAACCTATTGTAACAGTCCCCGAGTCAACCGTATTTTTTTCAGGGATGCGAAGGGCTATAACTGTCGCCCGGCTCGTCAGCCGCACTGTCCCTCAATCCAGCATCTTCACGCCCCAGGTCAGCAACTTCTCGTCAAAAATCACGAAAAATTGTTAGGTCGTGCTTCAGAGGCGCCTAGAAGTACCCTGCATCGAACTACGACAAGCCCGCCTATACAGCGCCCCGAATCCGGGCCGAAAGGGATTCCTTGGGAACCTCATCGATAATGTCAAGGAGGAGCTGGAGCGTAACAAGGAGTTGCAGGTTGCCACCGTTTATTGTAGTTATTGTTTGTTTCCAGGACAGTAAGAAGAAGCTCAATGAGAGAATGAAGGAATTGAACGACACGGAGGCGCTGAAGGAGGCTAGGAAGAAATTTGTGAGGACTTTCATGACCTTTCAGACAACGCCATTTTAGGAGATCGTTGAAAAAGAAAGCGTGAAGAGTTCCGAGGTGATCAAGGTGAAAATGCAGGAGCTGACAGAGCAAATGACCAAGGTCGGTTTTGTCGTTTTTGAAAATACAGGCCCGTTTAGCTTGTGCACGAAATTCAAAAGACGGAAGCCGGGAAGAAGTTGACGGCGGCGGGGGAAGAGGCTTTAAAGCAAGTAAGTGGGTATTTTCCTTGTAAAACTGCGAATTAGGCCCGTGTCGCCGCCGAGCAAATCGAGAAAGTAGCTGAGAAAGTTGGCGACACCGAAGTCTACAAAACCGTTTCGACGGTAAGGAATTCAAAGCAGCTACTATGTGCTTTTTTAGGGTGTCAAAAGTGTCAAGAAAGAAATCGACGATATCGCCGACGTTCGGATGTACAGTCGTCCTGGTACTGTTATGCAAGCCTTCTGATTAGGATTTTAGAAAATTTGAAGAAACGCAGCGAAAATACGCTGAGCCAAGAATGGGAGCGACGTACGGTAGCTGCCAACGAGTATGTTTTTACGAGTGTTGACATTCAAGCACTATCGTATTATTGCTGGTCTGAATTCCTCTTTCAGCCAGGCCACCGATGTGCAATTGCACAAGGAGTCTCGTTGGTATGCCGGATGGGGTCAATTCACTGAAGACAACAAATATTACAATAGTGAGAGAGCGGTCTAGGCTTCAATATCGTTTAGAAATGCTCGACTGGAAGATCCGCTATGACGAAAGCGACAACATCGGCGTCCGCCTGCTTCGCGGGGTGACCGAGCGGGTGTCTGGCCTTTTTAGTGAGTTTGAGATATTTCAGAAGTTAGTTGCCATCTGTTTGCAGGCGGTTCTAACGAAGTGGCGGACGTACTGACCGAAATCGCCAAAGTCGACCCATCGTTTGATCGGGTATATTTTGATCTGGTTTCAAGGTTCTTTAGGATTGGCGGGGGACCAATTTTTTCCCTAGCGGTCCCGGTTAGCCTAGTAATCAAATATAAAGTGTTTTTACATTGTCTTTAGTGAGTTTTAACTATATTTAAAGTAGAAAACTTTCAAAAAAGTTAAAGTACGTTTGAAAAGTCGAGAATTGGTCATTTTGGGCCCAAAAAAAAATAAAATTTTCGACTTAAAATTAATTTTTTTGGTTAAGAAGAATTTAGAAATGCAACGGATTTTTTATAAATAATAATTTTTTTAGAATCAATGGTTGCGCTTCTGTGAAAAGGAAATCATCCCCAATATTCTGGAGGCGGCTTTTGTCCGGATGGACGAAGAAGTTCTACAGGACTGGTGTTACGAACGGGTTTGTCTGCTGGAGGGAGGGCCATTTTTTCCCTTTTAGGCTTATATGATGCTCTCCAACGTGATTGCCGAGCTGAAAAAGATCCATTACCACACGCGTGACAGTAAGATCATCGATGTTAGCAAAGTGGAGGTTCGGACTTTTTCACTGTTCATTATCCATAATTTTTCCTTTTAGTTGGTGTCCGGAAAGATGGTTGAGCAGGGTCCGGTGCTGGTGATCTCTTTCCAGGTGCGTTTTAGCGAATTTTCCGGTTCTTGAGGATTCGCGGCGGACCAATTCTTTTTCGGCCCAAGCCTTAATTTTTTTTATAAATAACGGATGCGTTTCTAAATTGTTTTGAACTTTCCTAAGCATAAAAACTATGTAACTTTTCATTAAAAAATTTAGTTTTAGGTCGAAAATTGATTTTTATTCGACCTATAATGACCAAATTTCGGCTTTTTCAAACTTTTTTGAAAGTTTTTTACTTTAAATCTAGTTAAAACTTACTAAAAACAATGTAAAACTAATTTATATTTGATTGCTAGGCTAACCGAGAGTGCCAGGAAAAAAAATTGGTTCCCCTCGGTGAATCCTAAAGAACGAACTTTCCTTTTCGGCTAAATTTATCATTTTCAGGTCTACGTTATCAAGGTGGTGAAGAACCAAGAGGGAAAAGTGGTCATCGGCGATCCGGTATTTCGCTTTTCAATTTTCGAAGCAACTAATTTCCTTAGAACAATGCTGTGCGCCAACAACACGTATGGGTGATGTGTCGCGATATGGAAGAACTGAACCCAGCCATGGCTTGGAAACTACTCGAGGCCCATTATCAAGACTCGGCCATCACCGTCTAGCCTTTCAAATTTCTTAGAATTTAAAATTCCCTCGCCTCTCGACTGCCTTTGAATCGATTTTTGTGGTATTACTTGCTCCATAGTTTTTAGCATCGTGTGCTTCTGTTTTGTTGTGTGTTGTTTCCATGGATATTCAATAGCAATACGGGTGTACTGTCCATCCTCTTCTCGTGCACTTCCTCGTTAGATATAGCTGAGTAGTGAATTTGTTTGAGTTATTGTTGTTTTTAATAAAGATTTATTCATTCTTGAGCTTTCTTGAAAATAACAGCTTCCGCAGGCAATAGACTATCAAAAATGTGGCAACAAAAATGGAAAGAAGGAAGAGCCCGAGAACGTCAAGAAGATGATACGTGACGAACGAGAGATGTCTGCCATGTGGATCGAGTTGTGGGAATGGGCCTAGGTGAAAAAGGCTTGTATTAAACTTTATGACCTACCGTATTTTGCGGCAAATTCGGTGTATTTTAGTAGAAGCTCCTGGGGCGTGAATGGCCGTTCAGCGATTGTCGCGGCTAACCTTTTGGCGGCTTTTTCCATTCTGCATCATCAGGTTTTTGTGAGCAACTCCTCCTTACCGCACATCCTCGGTAAGCTGCTTGATGGCCTCAACCAGCTTGGGCTGGTCTTTCAGATCCTCCTTTTCTAAAAGTATCGTCCCTCCCTGCCGGTTGATCATTTTCGCATTGTGATGCTGGTCTCCAAAAAGCGGGATCACGATCGCCTGAAAAACTAGCTTCTGATGCGAAAAACCATACCTTTTTGCCCCGCAAAGCGAGTTCATAGGTGCTTCCAGCTCCTCCATGAGTGATGAAGCCGGTTAGCCTTTGATCGCCTAAATCCTTAATTGCTTTAGTTATTAAATTCTTACCGAGAAGGTCCGTCTGCGGTACCTATTTAGACAAGACAATATTTTCAGCTCCTCGTTTCACACTTTCGTCGCTGGGGTCCTCGTACTTCCAAATGAATGTTGTCTCGGGAATGCTAGGGGAAAGCGGAAGTGTATGACACGTGAGGAGATACACCTTTTGGTGCTAATGCAGTTAGGGGGGTAGTCCGAAATTGGTATTAAGGGGTTACGAGGCACTCCGCTTGTGCTACTTGGCTTTTAGCTTAAGCCTAAGCTTAACGTAACTTTATCCAGCTTATCGTCAGCTTGGGCTTAAGCTGAGGCCGAAGCTAAGCTTATCTTAAGCTTTAAATTGCCTTACGAGGTCAAAATGGGGTTATTTAGGGCTTAGCTTTGATTGACCGAATGCAAGCTCAGACTTCGTTTGTAGGCCTTGGCGTAGGCTTAGCTTATCTTTTCCGGAGGCTTAGAGTTTAAAAAACGGTTTTTGGAGCGTCTTGTAGTCAAAAAACGGACTGCCCCAACCGAAGTGCATAAGCACCAACCTTTTCAATGCCTCCACTAGTCCAACTTTGAATTCCTCGGGCATGTCGATGCTCTTTGAGAGCGACCCGAAGGAGATGAGGATTGTGTGTTCCCTTCGGTTTAGAATCTCGTCCCATTCCTGTTATAATTTTTTCGGTGTCCAAAATTTAAGGTGCATACTTTCGTTAATTTTTTCGCAGATGCTGGGGGAACTGAAATGCCGCCGACATTGACAATTTTGTGGATGGTTGGCCTGGGAAAATCAAATAATGGCTCAGAATTCGGCATCAGGAAACAGGCGCCGGCATACTGGGCCTAAGAAAGCATTAACCATTTACTTTAGAATTTAGCTTACTAGCCCTCCAGGGTACGTGGGATCCTGCGAGACGAAGTAGTCGTCCAGTTGCGTCATCATGTTCCTCACCGCGTACTGTACATTTTTATAAGGTATTTTGATTTTTTTGTAACCTGCTCGAACAGGTAGAATACGGCATTCTTCGTCCGTTCCAAGAAATTCATCTTTTCATCGGTGCCAAGGGACATTCCTATTAAGAAAGAATCTTTTTATGTACAGCGTATCCCAAAAAAATCGACCGCCTTCTAGCTGGCCGCAGGCATGTCCGATTTTGACGATTTAGGTATCTATCCAAAGCTCTCGAAAAAGCGACAAAACAAGCACTTTGCGTTTTTCAATATAGTCATTTTAATTCACTAAATTTCGAACCAAAATCTATGAAAGCTGCGGATTTCATGCAAAATCTCCCTGTTAATTGCTTGCTAAAGCAATCAGGACGGCGTTGATTTTACATGTTTTTAAGAAATCGTTGAATATCGAGCGCGGGCTACAAAATTTTGTAAAACGTAAAGCGCTTCTTTTCTCGCCGTTTAAAGGGCTTTCGATTGGTGCAAAAATCATGCCGATCCGAGCTTTCTCCGAATCGCTAGAGGGGGTCGATTTTTTGGACACCCTTTAGTGCCTTGTACTGACCAGGAACGTAGCTCAGTGCGACGGGAGCACCAGCCAGGGAGGCAAATGAGTTGCTGAGTGGTGTTGAGAGGAGTATATTGTACTTGTCGATGCCGAGGGCATGGAAAAGGCCTAAATGATAGTTGAATAAGTATTATCTGTTGGTAGAGGTGCATAAGTAGAAACTTACCTAGAGCACAGGCATCAAACGGTTGCGTGAAGCCGATGTCGAAATTGTAGGTCCGAAGCTGATCCATGAACGTTTGGTTGCCATAAACGTCTGGAAATGGTCTGTATGTATGTCGGTATGGTCTGCTTTTTTCTAGCTTTTTATCCATCTTTTTTTGATCTTTTAATTATAGCTCTAAAAGCTTTTTTTAAGAATCTACACTCATTATAAAATTACCCATGCAGGTCTGCTTGCTAAGCGCCCGGAACTTCACCATCATCTAGATTTAGTTTTTAAAAGGTTAGAATCGGCTAGCACCTGGCGCATCGACAAAAAGTAAAAGGTCGGCGTGATCCACCGAACTTTCTGGGTTTCGCCCACAACATGGGCCAATTCTTTGCCCTGTTCGGTTAGCTCCAAGCGGATCACCTAAAAGGGAATTTTTTTAGTCAGGAAATTTCGGTTCCGGACTGTTAGCGGGGGGGGGGGGAAAGCACTTTTTGTTTTTCCACCTGTAAATGATATATTTTTATAGTGTTTTTTAGTAGCTTTTGATTTCTATAAAGTTATAAAAAAACTTTTTTAATTTCGAAAATTACGAAAATTTTGACCTTTTTTGGTCTTTTCATACATTTTTGACAAAAAAGTCACAATTTTTTGAAAATGTTCATTTTTTAATGGTTTTTATATCTAGAAGCTATATAAAATTTTATCAAATGGTTTATATTTTGATATGGAGCCGTAGAGAATAACAGGGAAAAAAATTGGTCCTCTCGCTAAAAATCCCCCCCTGCTAACAGTCCAGAACCGTAATTCCTTACCTCAGCTTTCTTGGTTCCGGGGCCAAGCTTTGGGTCGAGAAGCGTTTGAACGATTACCTGAATAATTTTTATAGCCAAAAAGCGTCAGTTTTTGCTGTTTTTCTAATGTTTAGAATAAGCCATAAGAACATACGACATGGTGACCCGCATCAACGAGTACATCGGCTACTTTCCCCACAAAATTGACGTGTGAATGGCCGAATGTCGGCTGGTAGATGAGCACGTTTAGAGGTTGAGAATAGGGCAATAGGGCACAGAAAAGGGCGCCGATCAGAAGCACGCGCATCACACCCGGCAATAATCACAAGTCTGGCTGGCGCCTTATCTATGGCCTTCATATCACGCCAGTATCATTTCCGTACTATGCTTTGTGCTTCTGACCGGGGCTTGTGTTTAGAAGTGGGGGCAGAAGTGCCAGATCGGGAGCAGGGTAACAAGTTTTGGTTCTGGACTGTTTGCGGGGGGGCACTTTCTGTTTTTCCACCTATGCTGACCTGTTGATGATACATTATGTATTTTTATATTGTTTTTCGTGGTTTTTAATTGCTAGAATGTTATAAAAATATTTTTTAAATTTTGAAAATTCGAAAATTTTGATCTTTTTCGTCATTTTTCATACATTTTTGAACACTTTCTTTTGTTTCCACTTGCTGATGACCTTTTATAGTGTTTTAGTGGTTTTTAATTGCTAGAAAGTTATAAAAAAATATTTTTCGAAATTTTGGCCTTGGTCGGTCATTTTTCATACATTTTTTATCAAAAAGTCAAACATTTTTCGATTTCTTTATTTTTTATATTGTTTTGAAATCTAAAAACGTTGTAAAATGCGATAAAAATGGTTTATATTTTGTTATAGGGCCGTAGAGAATCACGGAAAAAATTGATTTCCCCCGTTAACAGTCTAGAACAACAAGTTTTATTTTATGGTTTTTTTCAGAACAATGTTTTTGTAAGTTTTTGTAATGTTCTGTATTTTGCGCATGTTATCTTTTTTAATATCTGTTTATTGCAATCACTACCAACGAAAATAATGGGCTACCGTATTCAATTCATCAAAAAAACGCAATTTTTGTAAATAAATTAATTATATAGAATTTATAGAAAATAGAAATGAATAAATAGGGGATGGCGAGGCACAAATGAGCGCAGGGAGACAATTATTTGGTGCACAAAATTTGTTGAGGAGCAGGAGAGGCAGTAGTAGTGAGACTGAGAAGCGCGATGAGATCGTTTTATTTTTCGGGTTAGAGGAAAAAAAGACGACGGATACGGTCAAGTGAAAGAGTGCCGGTGCATTAATGGGGGAAGGGGGTTAACCCGGGTTGTTAGATTGGTCATTAGCCATCATCATCATCGTCAGGTTCGCCGCCGGAAATCGTATCTGGTGCACGAAGCGCAGCAGCGTCGCCGTACTTCCTCAGAATCGCATCTAGGGGGTCGCGTTAGTTTGTGGCTATGGAGTGATTTGTTATTTTAACGTTTATTTTGTTTATAAAGATTTAAATCAGTAGCTTTTCCCAACGAATCTCTGCTAGAGTGCCCGATTCGGAATACAGGGTGTCCCAAAAAAACCCCCTCGGCATTTGGCTGTCTTCTATCGGACCGGGACCAAATTTTTACCAGCGATGGGAACCCATAAAAACTACTCTCTAAGGCTAAAAAGAGTCTTTTTAAAAAAGGGCTTTTGGTTTTCGCAAAAAGAGATTAATTCTCGTGGCAACAAAAAGAGCTAAATTCCTTTCAAACTCTTAAAAATGCCACAGAATGCGGGAACAACAAAAAGTTGCTGGCTATTTAAAATCTTAATAAACTCGGTACCATACCAGATCACAGGTCAGGTCCACAGATTAATTTCAAGAAAGTGCAAATAGATCATAATACAGAAATTATTTGCAAGCCGAAACCGCTAGAAACTGGATCTGTCCATTTTAATAAGGTGCCAGCAACTTTTGGTTGATCCCACATTCTGTGGCATTTTTAAGAGTTTGAAAGGAATTTAGCTCTTTTTGTTGCCACGAGAATTAATCTCTTTTTGCGAAAACCAAAAGCCCTTTTTTAAAAAGACTCTTTTTAGCCTTAGAGAGAATTTAGCCCTTTTTGCCTCAATCTTATTTCATTTCACAATCTTAATCAGTTCGTAAAATAAGCCAAGGATGATTATTCAGATGAACCCTTGTACGCAAAACTTCAAAAAAATTTGCCTGTGGCGCTTTGTGACGGCACTAGAAACCATAAGGATGCACGGGGGCCAAACGGCAAAAAACATGCTTCGGGTGGGGTTCGAACTCGGGAGCCAAGTCTTCCCAGTACAGCGTGCTAACCACTAGGCCAACGGAGAGACTGGAGGCCTGTCTTGGGGAAGCTAGACCCGCCCGCCCTGACTCGGAACTGGGGCCGCCAAAGGGGAGGGTGGCGCCCCGTATGGCGATGGTTTAAAGTTAAAATATCTCAGAGGAGAAGCATTCTTTCGATGCAATTACTTCTTTACTTGTTCCGGCATGGTCTAATGCATATTTTAGCAAAATTCCAGCCCAAACGGACATCACTAACCCTTGTTTTGACCGCAATTTAGCTTTTAAACTTAAAAATTGAATATAAATTTTTTAAAAAGCTATTTTGAAAAAAACGCTTCTTCCTCACCTTCATTTACATCAAGTCGATATATGTGGAAAATTTCAGCCCAAACGGACAATGGGAAGGCACTTTTTGCCGACTACAAAGGTTTTGCGGGCATACAGACGTACAAACGCAGACCCCCCCCCCTCGAAACGCAATTTAAATCGGCTGTTAAAATTCGAAATTTAACTTTTTTTCAAATTTTAAAAGCTTATAGTATGCAAAAAGTGTCGCCGGTTCCGATGGTGTATTCAGTTTTGCGATCCGATGCTTGGTTCTTTTTTAAATCCGGAAAAGGACCCCAAAAGAGTCGTATGGGGGGGGGGGGGGGTACCTCAAACCAAAAGGGGTTAGCGGGCTACGCCCGCTACCCCCGATGTGCAGCCGAATTTTCTTAGCAAAATATTGTAAAACAAAAAAGTTATAACGAAATTAAGGTTTATTTTGCTGATTTCACTAAGATTTTGACGGATTTTTGGACCTCGAAATGTTTAGCAAAAATGGAGAACGTACTTTTTCCACCCGGGAAAATTTTTTGATTTACGAAAATAACGCCGAAATTCAGACTTTTCATCCCCTTTTATTATCAAAATTGACAGAAACCGACCCGAAAATGACCCGAAATTTGGATGGATTTCGACCTCGAAATGTTTAGCGAAAGTAGAAGAGCAACTTTTTCCACCCCAGAATTTTTTGATTTACGAAAATTACAGCTAAATTGGGACTTTTCACCACTTTTCATCATCAAAATTGGCAGAAACCGGCTCGAAAATGATCATTTTTCGGCGAATTACTCTAGGTTGCGAATTGCGAAAGTTAGCCAAAAATGGGTACCAGCTACTCCTAAAAAATTAGTATTGAGCGATGACTTATCTGTTTTACAATATTTTGCTTAGAAAATTCGGCTACACATAGTTTTTATGGGTCCCGATCGCTGGTAAAAATTTGATCCCGATCTGATAGAAAACGGCCAAATGCCGAGGGGTTTTCTTTGGGACACCCTATATTTCGAATCGGGCTCTCTAGCAGAGATTCGCTGGGAAAAGCTAACGATTTTTCAGAAGTTCGGTCTTGTTTCTAAAAGACGTCACGAATTTCCGGTCAAAAATTTTTTGAATTTAACACTTTTTGAAACTTTCGTTTCGCTTTAAATGAATCGTATTGCTTTTCGAATAAAAAACCGGAATCGGGTTACAGTGCGGGTTGTTAATAAAAATAAAAAGTGCGGGAAAGTGCTTACGAGTGGAATAGCTTGATGATGTCACAAAAACGGGACAGGTCCTCGCACGAGGCATCTGAAATTGAGGGGGCAAATTATAGGAGGCGGAGGAGGAGGCATTCCGAGGGGGTACGGTAGCGAGGGGGGCATGCTATAGACATGCATTAAATGATGTAGTAGCCGCCGGAGGGGATACGGTAGCTGGGCCAACCTTTTAGCGGCAGGGCGGTGGGTGGTTCGGCTGGGCAGGTGGGTAGTTGGCCGGCCTGGGAATGGATTGGTCATTTTAAGATGGTTTTTAAGCACCTGGGGGCAAGGTCTGGCGGCTGCTGGTCTTCTGACGCCCTCACAAGAGCGGCCGGCCGCTTTTCCGGAAACAGTCCACACGCATTGAAGCATACGCAGCTAAAGATTAACCGATTTTAACGATTAACGATTTTCATGCCAGATCAAGAGAGTTGCTATTTGAATGGTATTTTAGGAATCCTTTTTCTTCTATGTTTTCACGAAATTTTAGGCACTAAAATTTCGCACTGACCTGTACGCCTCCATTTCCACAACTCTGCGTACACGTGCCCCACTCGCTGGCCCGCCACTCGGCTTTGCATTTCGCTAAAAAAAAAATGTGTTCTGGACTGTTGGCAGGGAGGCACCAAATTTTTCACTGTGATTCCCAGCGGCCCTATAACAAAATATAAACCATTTTTATAGCATTTTATGGAGTCTTTAGCTAGAAAAAGCATACAAAAAAACAATAAAAATTTTCGAGATTTTTTACTATTTGGTGAAAAATGTATGAAAAATGGTAATAAAGGTCAAGCTTTTTAAAAATAATTTGTATAACTTTCTAGCAATCAAAAACTACTCAAAACACTATAAAAAGACATGATATATCGACAAAAGGTGGGTATAGGTGGAAAAACAAAAGTGTTCCCCCCCTGCTAACAATCCAGAATATGATGGGGATATGATGGCGTACCGTTCTCGCAGTCCTTCTTCGGCTTCGGGCGATTCGACCGGTCGCACTGGTCGACGTCGACCTCGGTGCCGTTTTGCGCCAAACAACGCAGGATACGGCGCTGTTGGGCCACACCGTCGCGCACGCAGCGTGACAGCGCGCACTGCAATTTTGGGTTATATTCCAATAGTGCGCATCAATACATAAAATAAATTAAAAATTAGTCTTAATATTAATTACAGGCTCACTACAGGCTGTTTTTTCTATTCCTGTTTCAGAAAATCAAATTTCGCATTTGGGGCTTGTGAATTTCTACGTTATGAGGTGAACTTTTTGAAAATGAGCCTTTGTAAGGAACTGGAATCTACCGCACCTCAGTCCATTCAGACGTCTCCCATTTCGGGCATCCAATCATTTGGCATGGTCTTGTATTTGGAGGTTTCGAGCTTGGGCGGAGGCTGCACACCGCGATATCGGTGCGTTTCGTCGTCCCGCCCTCGATCACCATCAAGCAGGACACGTCGCGCACCTGGACGGAGGAGGCCAATTTTAATTAAAAAATGTTTTTAATTTAATTATATTCCAAAAAATTTAATATTATATATAAGCCAATATTTTCGGTTATTAAAACCAACCTGGAAGCCATGTACCCCACAGGCCTTCTGCTTGCAGTCACTCCACGCTCCGATATCATAATGGACCTAAAAGATTAATTATAATTGATGGTTCTTTCCCATTATCGAGGGGGGACTAGTAACGGAATAGAAAGTGTCTTAATCGTGTTTTTAGTAAGAAATAACTATGTTTCAACTCCAAAAACTAAAAAAAGTCGAAATTTTGGTAAAAAATCGGCAATTTTCGGTGGAAAAATCGATATTTTTGATATTTTTCAAACAATTTTGTAAAGTTTTCAATTTTAGGAATAGTTAAAAAGCATTTAAAAACACTTCCACTATTTATTTCTCAACCCCTCCCCCCGGATAATGCAAAAGAACCTAATCGATTGGTTTCCGAATTTACCTTGAAAAGCGAGTGGAATGGTTTCAGCTCTTTCAGCAGCTCTTCGGCGTCCGAGATTTCTGTCAGGAGGTTCTGAAGCGGAAATGAAGAGCTACGAATTCAGACGCAACCTGTAGACGTGTGATGTTATAGAGTCGTGAATGCTTTGGGTGCAGATGTGATTCGACGCGATTGCTGTCTAATGCTTTTTGAACGCTATCTGCCTCGTCGTGGTATTTGAAGTGGAGCGTGACGTTGCCCTAAAACAATTTTGAAGGGGTTCAAATGGTATAAAAAGACCTGTAGACTGTCGGTGAAGCATTCGTAGGTTCCGGCGTCTTCCAGACGGGCATGTTTGATTCGGAGATTGCCGTTTGTTGATACTTTGATGTGAGCTGAAATTTGGAATAATTTTACTTTTTAAAATCTACTAATATTTTTGCGAATTTGCCGAACACTCAAGTGTTTTCCAGCCCAAGGTCAGTTTTTTGCAAGGCATTTGAGAAAACACGGCTGGGATGGGAGCGAATCCGATTAAATTGAGTTTCTGCACAAAAACGCCTAATTTATGCCAAAAAACGATGAAAATCGGGCCAAAAATTCGGCAATTTCACAAATCGGAGAGAACTAATCTCATCAGCTCGTCGAGAGCTTTCGATAGATACCTAAATCGTGAAAATTGGATACGACTGCGCGCCGCTAAAGGGTTTTTTTTGTGGACACCCTGTAATCCCAAATACCTACCATCATTCCTGATCCGTCTGCCATCCTTTGTCCAATAGATTCGCTTCTTGTCAAAGTTCTTCCTCGGACATTTTATCTTGAGACTTGTGCCTTGATATAGCGTGGCCACGCCCCCGATCCCCAGCGTCAGCTTCTTCTCGTCGCTGGCCTGCTCGAAGACGCGGTTCGATTTTAGTTGCGGTTTCTCGCCACAGGGGCCTGAAACAGCACTTCAAATCCTTGAGGATGATACGAACCAAGGTTGCACATTTGGACGTGATGGGGCCGTTGCGCGGCACATTCGCGTTCGCTTCGACGTTCGCTGCGCCCGCGCGAGTCTCGGCCCTCGCATTCGACGCGTCGTCGTTGCTCACCGCTTCCACACGAGGATGAGCACTCTGACCACACGCCAGTCTGAAATATGCTCTTTTAAAAGACGTTTTAAATTCAAAAATAAATTTCGCAAGAAAAATTGAGGTGGAGTAAAAACGAACGACCCAATCGGCGGGGCACGCAACTTGCGCGCAGGGTTGCGTTTCCGGTGGCTTCGGATGTGGGCATTGATTGTCGGGCAGGATGAGGTTCGAGTCGGCTCCACCTGAAATTGGCTTCTTGAATGACACGGCCAATCAAACAGGCCAAAAACGCCAATTGCCGGGAGGGGCGATAGCGTCCATAGGAGCCGGGCGTAGCGGCCGCCAAAAAGTTTGAGCTCTTATACTTTTTCAAACCTACTTAATTTTGAAAACCAAATATCAGTTATTGCAGAATATAATTTTACGGTTCGAACGATACCAAAGACGGCAAGTTAGCCCTGGTATCATTAGAATCGCCGTGTTCCATTCTACAAAGTTGGCACAAGTTTTTTTAAGGTTCACCTTAGTTTTAAAGTTATAAGGCTTAGAAGTTTTGGCCCCATGCATTTTTGAGTCGATAGGAGTGCCGCGTTGCTTAGGGCCTTATTGCCGCTAATTTTGGGCGTGATGAATCAAGCTTCGCACCTGATTTTGAGATGGGGCGTACGCAGCGGACGTTCCGCGTATTCGTCCCTCCGCCACACGTCGCCGTACACTCCGAGAATTGGCCCGCCTGAAAAGGGTAGGCCCTAATTTTTGCTCTGTTAATCAAGGTATTTTTATAAATTCAAAGATTATGATAATAAAGACCAGCTAACCTGCCAAGTTGCCGGACAAGGCTGTGTGTTGCAGGTTTTCACACGTTCTGGAGGGGTTCGCCTGGCATCACAGTGCGACCACGACACCGGACGGTTTGTCGCCACCTCCACGCACATCAATACGGCTTTTTGTTTCCCTAAAAACAGTATAAATACATATTGTAAGTTACCGAACCCATTCCATCAAGCGTACATGACTTTACGTTTGATACGCAAGGGCACCTCTTTTGAAACCCCAAGTTTTATCCTCTTTTTGAGCTTTATTGAGCGATTTGTTCAAAACCAGATGGTTACAGTCGCTTCGCGACTGCAACCATCTGGGCTTCGGGCTACCCTACATGTCCCACTCCACCACATCCTTTCCCACCTCCATCAATACCCCCCATAGCCGAAATCCCGTTCAAAAACTACCTAGATACCTTCCTGATGGCTTCAGATACCCCCCATGGCTGAAATCCCCTTCAAAAACTACCTAGATACCTTCCTGATGGCTTCAGATACCCCCCATGGCTGAAATCCCCTTCAAAAACTACCTAAATACCTTCCTGATGGCTACAGATACCCCCCATGGCTGAAATCCCCTTCAAAAACTACCTAAATACCTTCCTGATGGCTACAGATACCCCCCATGGCTGAAATCCCCTTCAAAAACTACCTAAATACCTTCCTGATGGCTACAGATACCCCCCATGGCTGAAATCCCCTTCAAAAACTACCTAAATACCTTCCTGATGGCTACAGATACCCCCCCATGGCTGAAATCCCCTTCAAAAACTACCTAAATACCTTCCTGATGGCTTTAGATACCTCCCCTAGCCAAAATCCCGTTTAAAAAACGAAAATAACGACCGACCGGATGGAATTAGAGAAAAAAATAAATGAAATCCCCCGTGAAAATTTTCATCCACGAAACGCGCGCGACCTGGCTCACTATGTCCAAAATCAGCCCAACCTCCGTCCCCCACCCTTTTACTAAGGAGAAAACTTTCAAAGTTAATTTTAATAGGTTAAACTAAAACTTTTTCAAAATTTTTTTATCAGTTTAGGGGTTTCTGAGGGCGCTCTATCCGAATCCGAAGAGAGCTAAGCTCTAGCTCCTTTCCCCTTCGAGTTGAATTCGGCTTCAGACACACGGACGGACGGACGTCTTAACTTTTTTATTATAGTTGATAGCACCTTGCGATTTATAAACCAAAGAACCAAATATCTAAATTTCTCATAAAATTTGATGAATCCCTACGAAATACAACTCAAACATTGAAATCCACTATCTTTTGAAATCCCAAGTTTTATCTCAATTTTTTGTGCTTTATTCAGCGCTCTTTTGAAAATATCACCTTGCTATTTATAAACTAATGAACCCAATGCCAAAATTTTTAATAAAATTTGATGAATCCCTACGAATTACAACCCCAAAACGCTCTCAAAAAACTTTCGGGCAAGACTCAGGAGCAGCCCCTCTCCATTGACCAACACCCCGGCACGCCCCCTCCCGGTTGTCTTTGTGGCTCAGTGCCAGTGCGCTCCGTTGGCGAGCGCAGGGGCTCGGGTTCGACCCCCGTCCGCGGCGCCCCACTCCCATATGAAGATACCCAATTTGCGTGAGTTTGGCTACTTTGATCGCTAAATGTCATAGTTACACTGACGGGAGTTCTTTTTGGATTTCAGGACTGGGGGGATTTGTTTTGTTTTTGAATACCTCCAAGGCAGCTGGCCGAGCATTGTCCATATTCTCCGTGTTCCCAGCGATACGGCGAGTTGTCTTTCGCATCTTTTGGCTCTTCCTAAACGATGGTAATGTTTATTTGGTTCTGGACTGTAAGCAGGGCGGGGGGGGATTTTTAGCGGGGGACCAAATTTTTCTCTGTGATTCTCTACGGTCCGCTATAACAAAATCCAAACCATTTTTATAGCATTTTACATGGTTTTTAGATAGAAAAACCATGTAAAAAATAAAAAATCTTTGAAAATTTAGGCTTTTTGATAAAAAATATTTGGAAATGGTCAAAAATTTTGAAAAATATGTTTATAGCTTTCTAGCAATCAAAAACTACTAAACCGCTATTAAAATACATAATGTATCATCTACAGGTTCATCATCAAAAGTGGTCTCCCCCGCTAAGAGTCCAGAACCGTTTATTTTGTTGTCTATTTTGGTTACCTGTAACGGGCAAGGTCGTTCTTCGCAAGGCTGGAATAGCGGGGGCTGGGGAAGTGCTGAAAGGAGCCCATAAAATTCGAAGAATAGCCAGGAAAGTCCAAGAATTGCTTTAAATTTACCGGAACATTCGCTGTCGGGCAGTTGGATGATATTGCGTGTCATTGGGTGCAGGGCGACACATTCAGCTTTTCGTGACGATACGCCCGGGCCGCAAGAAGCTGAACAGCTGCCCCACGCTCCGGTCACGATCCTGAAATATAGGGTTAGGGATTTTTTAAGGCAAATTAAAGCTTAAGAGTTTTTTTCAGTAATTTCCTGAAAAATCGTCATTTTCGGGCAGGTTTCTGCCAATTTTGTTAATAAAAACTGATGAAAAATCCCATTTTAGACATCATTTTCTTAAATCAAAAAATTTCTCCGGGTGGAAAAACGGCCCTCTTCATTTTTGCTAAACATTGGAGATCGAAATCCGTCAAAATCCTAGTGAAATCGGCAAAATAAACCTTAATTTCTATATAGCTTTTTTGTTTTACAATGTTTTACTTAGCAAATTCGGCTGCACATAGTTTTTATTGGTCCGCATCGCTGGTAAAAATTTGGTCCCGATCCGATAGAAGACGGCCAAATTTGGCGAACCGCCATTTCACCTTCCAACCCCCTTACACCTCTAAATTGCGCGCATCAAATTGGGAATAATTGTTGGCGGTGGAGGGTTGCGTGTTTGTCGAGTGTTGACAAGTGGTTGGTGCTCGCTCCGAGAGCTACAACCAGCCATCTGTTACCATCGCCCTCCCGCTGGGTCAAACCCTAAATCGAGCCCCGGGGACATCAAGGAAATCCCTGCCATATAGACACGTCTAATCCCTTATGGGTCCTTAATAAATCAACGTCGCGATTGTCATAAGCTTCCGATTGGCAGTCGGGGGATTCGTACACGAAATGTAATTCTGTCGCATCGTGGAATTGTCGCATTTCAGACAAACCTAGGTGTCGCCGCACCGGCCGCATCTTGGCCACTCCAGCTCTGTCCGTCTAGAAGTCGTCGCTCCGGCCAGTCGAGGCTGAAAAAGGATTTGGAAATGTTGTAACATCCGGTTAGAGGTTTATTACCGTTTTTTTAGACTTATAGGGCCCAGATTCTGACTTCGAAGTCCGGAAGAAAGAGTCTCAAATGCAGTCCATTTTTCAAGATGTAGCCTGCCAGGGGGAATCCCCTTGGGACCGAAGGTACACACAACCGAGGGCTTTAGTCCGGGTTTAACGAGTGACCCGTAAAAAAGGGAAAACCTGCAACTATGGGAGATGCTTAAAAGTTTCTTCAAAACCTCGAAATTTCAAACGCTTTTAAAAGCAAGTTACGCTATCCCGATTCCTCTCCACCTCGAAAAGCCTTGGCGCCGAGCATATTCCGGGCGGATGATCGATGATGGGCCATTGCAAGCCCCGAAAGTCATCGATTCTGGCCTTAGAGCCATGCGCCATACTTCCAAGTTCCTTTAGAATAGCCCTCATCTTTTCTCTCTATATCTCTCTCCATAGCTCTCTCTCTCTCTCTCTCTCTCTCTCTCTCTCTCTCTCTCCTGAGCCATAAGGGGACATAGGTGAAGCCCCCCGATTGACCCATCCATCGCCCGGACGGACTGGGCCCTAATGTGGCATTTAGAGAGTAGAGAAGCACCCTTCCACCCCCACTTCGCGGCTCGCTTCACGCAAAGCCCTTAATAGCCATAGCAAGACGAGAGAGAGAGACACAGAGAGAGAGACTCTCACGGAATACTACTACTACTAATCCATCATAGTATAAGATTGATTCAGGGGCAGCCTAGCCAAAATTCTTTGAGGAATTAGAGGACTTGGGGCTGGCAAGCAGGGATTCTTTAGCTCTTCTAACGCCCAAACAACAAATTCAAATCACTCCCCCGACGCCAAGCCGAAAAATTGGGTGTGCCATTTAGATTCTGCTTGATTTGAGACGGGTCAATCTGGTGGTAGTTGCATAAATGCGGCTAATTGGGGATCGTACACGCTCTCTCTATCGCTCTCTCTCTCTCTCTCTCCGAAGGCTTACAAATAATTGGCACCTCTGGGCCCCCTCAAGGACGGGGCTAAAAGACGGAATGCCCCGGAATCCCGGGGATCATTGACATTTCCGGGCCTCGGCCGCCATGACAAAATAATTGGGGTGGACGGGTTGGGGCCCAGGGCGAACGCCTTCGTCTCGATACGACGCGGATTTTCGGGAATTTGGGCGGGGGGTAGCGAGCAGAGGTTCTGGAGGAGGATTATGATTAGGCCTAGGCTTAACCGTAGGCTTAGGCCTAATATTAAGCTTCTCTTATGCTTAGGCTTCGGCTGAGGCTTCCGCTTCCGTTTGGGCTTAGGCTTAGGCTCAAGGCTTAGGCTTAATATTAGGCTTAGGCTTAGGCTTACCTGATGCTTAGGCTTCATCTTCTGCTTCGGCTTAGGTCAGGCTTAATCTTACTCTTAGGCTTAGGCTTAGGCTTAGGCTTCGACATAACCATATGCCTAGGCTTAGGCTTAGGCTCCTCTACCTACACGCTCCCTCCCCTCTAAAGCCAAGCTTCTGCCCCATGTCCAGATTCCTCCGAAGGTAAAGGCCAATCAGGGCCCCATTCAACCCGGACACGATTCTATTTTCGGGGGCCCACAAGCGGAGGCCCCTCTGGGCCCTTTGGCCGTTCAAAGGGCCCAGATTATGAGCATTCACTTCCCGATCCCTTTAGAGGGCCCGGGTTTTCGAATTTTCTCCCCATCTTCATGTAAATTGACAAAACATCGGCTTCACTACCCGAGAGAGGCGTCAACGTTGGGGGCGCGAAAAAATTCCCCAGGGCCCCGTATCTGGGCCCTCCATCTTGGGCCCCTGAGCTTGGGCCCCTCCTGGGTCCCCGAAAAGCTGCGAACAATAAGGGGATCGCGAAGAAGAGGGGGAAGACAAAGCCCAATTTCATCCGCACATGGTGATTTCGGGGAGATTTGCATATGGCAGTTACGAAAGGTACAAACTACAAAAAATAGAACGCGGAAAATCCAGCTAAAAACGCTATTTTAGCATGCTAAATTTGGTCATTCCGGACCAATGCTTTCAAAAGAAACTTAAGCGTTTCTCGAAAATCTCTAAGAGAGTTAGAGAGAGAGAGAGCGTGAGAGAGAGAGGAAGACAGAGAGAGACAGAGAGAGCTAGCGAGAGAGATAGAGAGGATAGAGAGATAAGTGAGAGAGTGTTAGAGAGAGAGCGAGAGAGAGCGAGAGAGAGAGCGAGAGCGACAGAGATAGAGAGAGAGAAAGAGATCATGCAACGATCATTGGAAAATGCCATTTCTACCCGACTTCCAGGTCCCGTATCTGAAAACTTACAAAGCTTGTCCCAGAGCGCAAAATCCGAGCAATATTGTTATGGCCAAAAGCGCATGTAATTTCTGGCGTCTCATCGCTTCGAATATGGGCTTTAGACAGAGTGGGGGAGAAGAAGCTCCATTGAAGAGAATGGGGGGATGCCCCGAGGCCACATACAAAGCCCCGAAAAAGGGGGCGGGGCCAACGGGGCCGGTTGGCTGACCAGGGTGAGACTTTAAAGGGATTGGCAAGGGCGGGTTTAAGGGATATCTCTCCCTCTTCTCTCTCGCTCTCTCTCGGTCTCTCTCTATGTCTCACTCTCTTGCTCTCTCTCACTCACTCGGTCTCTCACTCTCACTCTCGCTTTCTCCCGCTCCCTCTCACTCCCTCGCTCTCTTTCTCGCTCTGTCTCCCTCTCACTCGCTCTTTCTCGGTTTCTCTCTCTCGCTCGCTCTCTCTCGGCTTCTCTCTCCCTATTTCTCTCTATTTCTCTTTCGCTCTCTCTCTCTCTCTCTCTCTCTCTCTCTCTCTCGGTCTCGCTCTCTCGCTCTGTCTCTCTCTCTCTCCATTAATGCGCAAATCATCGCGATTCACAGCCCTTTATCAGAACTACGATATCTACATCCTCCTCTTCCTTCAAAAGCCATAGTTGCAAACCCTTGGGCCCTTGGTGGGCCATTTGTCAGGAGGCCCAAGTGTGCCCTTCCCTTCTTCCTTCAGACCCAAAAATGGCGCTGCCGGGATTACTGGGCCCCCGTGGTCCCAACACTTTGAGATGAGCCCTCGTGCCCCTCAAATGATATAGTCATTTAGAGGGACAGAAATCGGAGGGAGGGCACATTAATGGGAATGCCTCAAACCTGCCAGGCTGCTCGGTTGGTCCTGCCGGGTTGTCGGCGGCTTGGAGGGCTTGTGGCGGGATCACGTTGCACGGAATTCCGGCGTAGCAGCTCTGGTGAACCTGAAAAAGGACTGGCTTAGGCTGCTTAACCTAAGGCTTAAGCTTAGGCTTAGGCGTAGGCTTAGGCGTAGGCTTAGGCTTAGGTTTAGGCGTAGCTTAGGCTCAGGCCTAGGCTTTGCTTAAGCTTGGCATGTGCCTAGGTTGGGCTTAGGTTGAGGCAAAGGCTAATAATAGGCTTCGTTTTAGGCTTAGCCTTAGGCTCAAGCTTAAGCTTAGGTTAGGCTTAAGCTTAGGCTTAGGCGACATACCTGTGGTTTCTTGACCTTGTCACAATCGGTCCCTCCAACGCAGGTCACCTGCAATGAAAGGAGAGTCTAGCTCATTTCCTATGACCACCCCTGTCTCTCTCTCTCTCTCTCTCTCTCTCTCTCTCTCTCTCTCTCTCTCTCTCTCTCACACCTTATTGCTCATTCTGCTCAAACCAAGAACGCTTCCCCAAAAAAACCTACCACCCTCGATCGTGTCCCAGTGCCGCAGGAAGCCGAACAGGAAGTCCACGGCCCGGTATCCCATGTTCCACACCATTTCGAGACGCACGACTCGGAGCCGGGCTTAAATGGCATTAACCTTGTACCCTAAAAACCCACCGGTTTCATCTGTGCGGGGCAATACTTGTCGGGCACATTAATGGACGTGTTTCCGGCAAGCGCCTGTACACAGTACACCGTTCGTTGGCGTAGTCCGGACCCGCAGCCGGGCACGCATTCTGACCAGTCGGAGGAGACCCATCTGAAGGATTATTTTTGGTCATTAATGCGTCAATGAGGGATGCTCGCGTAAAAATGGCACACGTCAAAATCTCAGCTACGGTAAATGGCAGTTCGCAGGCGGAATTGTCATTTTTTGGATGTTTTTGTTGATGTTTCTCTCTATCTCTCACTTTCTCGCTTTATCTATCTCGCTCTGTCTCTCTCCCTCTCTCGCTCTATCTCTCTCCCTCTCTCTCTTTTTCTCTCACGCTCTCTCTATCTCTGTCCCTTTCGCTCTCTCGCTCGCTCTCTCACTCTCTCTCGCTCTCTCTCTCTCTCGTCTCTCTCTGCCTCTCTCGCTTTCTCGCTCTCTCGCTGCCTCTCTCTGTCTCTGGCCTCTCTGCCTCTCTCTCTCTCTCTCTCTCTCTCTCTCTCTCCCTCTTTCCATCCCAATCCGCATGCAAAACGTAAAAAGGTGCTGCAAAGCGCGCGAGTGATTATCGGAGAAGCGAAAGTCCAAAATCCGATGCATTAATGAAACACAGCAAACTGATCGGCGTCCAGCCAAAAAGGTACCGTAATAAACGTAATACCGTAATAACAGATCCGACACTTACCGACACCTGAAAAAGGAGCGTTTTGAGTGAATTTTTGACTTCCCAATCCCTTTGAAACAGCCCGATTTCTGCAGAATTTCTCACCTTGACGGACAGATGAGCAATGGACATTCCCGCCTCGTGGGCGTCGGTTTCCCTCGATCTGCGCACATTCGCTCCGGGACGACGCGGCCCGAGTCTCGATTCACGCACACGAACACTGACACTTGGTATTCCTAAAGATTTGCTTATTTATTTGGGTAATTCCAGGGCTAGCGAGCAGAGATTATTGGGGAATATTCCGAAAAAAGCTGAACTCTACAAGGCGCCAAAAACCACTCCTCGGTTTTCTATTTCTTCTATCCGATCGGGACCAAATTTTTACCAGCGATAGGGGCCCATAAAAACTATGTACAGCCGAATTTTCTAAGCAAAATATTGTAAAACAAAAAAGTTATACCAAAATTAAGGTCTATTTTGCCGAATTCACTAGGATTTAGACGGATTTCGACCTGGTAATGTTTAGCAAAAATGGAGAGGGCACTTTTCTCCACCTGGAGACATTTTTTGTTTACGAGAATTTCGTCACAATTGGGACTTTTCATCGCTTTTTGTTATCAAAATTGGCCGAAATCGACCCGAAAATGACAATTTCGGCAAATTACTCTAAATCTGCATGCTAGTAGCGGAAACACAGCCAAAAACTAGCACCAGCGTTTCCCAAAGCTCAGTTTTGTAGCGATAACTTTTTTGTTTTATAAAATTTTGCTTAGAAAGTTCAGCTGCGCATAGTTTTTATGGTTCCCCATCTCTGGTAAAAATTTGCTCCCGATCCGATAGAAGACGGCCAAATGCCGAGGGGGCGGTTCTATTTTGGGACACCCTGTATTTTCTCGAGTCGCCGCAGGCAGGCTAGCAAAAATCCTTCCGGACACCTTTTCCTCAATGACCTTTGCTAGCTTGACTTTTAAATCTTTTTCCTCAAGCTAACCAGGAGAAATCTTTAAAGAAACCTATTCCTTAACACCCTCTGCTAGTTTCCCTTCACTTACCGTATCATATGCCCCTCCATGTAGTTGTGCCAGTTTAGCGGCCTGTTGACAATCTTGTGGGCATGGCGAGAACTCGCCCGAGTCCCGCCAGTCAAAATGTGATGTTTCACAGGTATCCCCTCTTCCTCCACAGATTCCACAACCATCCATCCGAAGTGACGAGCCAATCACGTCATCACAGCCCACCGCCTGGAATTAGTCGTGTATTTGCGGTGTAAGTGGTGTGTGCTTCTCTCTCTCACTCTCTCGCTCTCTCACTCTCACCCTCTCTCGCTCTCTCACTCTCACCCTCTCTCGCTCTCTCTCGCTCGCCCTCTCTCGCGCTCAGTCTCACTCTCTCTCTCGCTCTCTCTCACTCTCTCTCTCCCTCACTCTCTCTATCTCTATCCTTTTTTCAAGAAATCTAAAGCTCATTTAACTTGATACACACCTGGCAGACGCCACTGGAACAAACGGAGCGATGCGTAGTCCCTTGACACGGTGTCCCGTCGGCCACACGCCAGATGAATTTGGCCCCAGAGCTCGCTGACCGGCAAACCACTTCACACTGAAAGGGGCGGGGCTTAGTGGATGTCACCGCCCCTTGAAAGCAAAATCTAGAAGAACCACCCAACCTGTTGCTTGGAAAGTATCGTCTCGCCCCCGCAGACTGTATCGCGAGCCGTTCGAGAGGGTTTGTCGCATTCCTGCAATGGTAGAAATATAATTACGAGGTACGAGGTAGTTAGAGCAAGGACGCTAGAAAAAGACTTATCTAAACTTACACGGAGACGTTTTTGAGTGTCTTCCGGACTTCGGGACGGGACCAAGCCTATCTTGTGCAGATTTTGCGCTGATTCCGACTATGGTTACCGTTTTTTGCGGAATTGCCATTTCTCGTAAGTTATGGGCTATTCAGGCATAAATAACCACAAATTAACCACTTTTGATAGCTATAAGAAGCTTCAGAATGCAGCAGCTAGTGCATCTGATTCAGCTAAAAATTCTCTATTGAATAGGCTACTTCAAAAATTTAAACATTTTTAAAAATTTGATAGATTTAGGGGCAAGAAGATATAAAATTTTTCAAGTTTTCAAATTTTTTTCGGAAAAAGATGCTCGTTTTTTCTAAAATTTATTTTGAAGCCGTGTATGTCCGTCGGAAGTAGGTGATTTGTAGCGTTTTTTGGTTTCAATCGGTCATCTTTCGAGAATTGGCTATTCGGCAAAAAAGCCATATTCGGATATGTAATATTCAATTCCAAAAAACTTAAAACATTGCCGAAAAAACAGCGCCGCAGGCAAAAATTTTTGAAAAACAGGTTACATAGCTCTACAAATAGCCGTAAAAACGTGCAAAAATAGTGCCGCAGGCAGCAAAATTTTTGAGAAAATAAAAATCATAAGGGTCCCCCCTTATCAAATTTTCGGGCCCCGGCCGATTTCGGGGGGCCCGGGCCCCCGGGACCTGTATTACGCTACGTCCCTGGTCCCATGCCGAAGTCCGGATCACACTCAAAAACGTCTCTTTGTTGGAAACGTGAAACGAAACGATCATAAAAAAACTTACCATGGAATTGCAAACGCGTTGCCGAACGGAAATCCCGGAGCATTTGACGTCTAGACATCGGCGGAGCTGTTGTGACATCCCGCCGCCGCACTAAAAAGAATTTAAAGATAGCAAAAGCATAAAAATAACTATAATTAGGATATACAGAGACGCCTGAACGACCAACAGCCGTTAATTTCTTATTAATTCATCGCTTAACATTTCTATAGGCCATCTTTCTAGATCAATTGTTAACTTTTAACGCTTCTATTGTCTATTTTAGCTATTTAAACTATAAAAAACTTCATGAAGCATTTTTAAGTATTTCGAATAAAATAAGCGAAAAATATGTGACCCTTGATGGTAAGGGACTCTGGGATAGAATCCCCAGCCGTTCGGTGGCGGCCTAGCAGCGTGGCCTATTGGCTAGCCTCTCCCACTACCAGGCAAAGGGCCGGGGGTTCGACTCCCCGCCGCGGCGCCCAGGTAGAGAACCACCACTCGCTAAGACTCTGGCCCTAATGGCCCTGCTCTTAGAAGTGTGTGGGATATGATAATACGGGACAACCGATAACCCGGGGTCCATTCATTGGGCCTCGGGACTGAATATGTCCCACAGCAATCACAGCTATTTTGTTTTGCCGTCAAATCTAGGATCGATATTGATGCTTTATATACTTTTTAATACGATAGTATAGTTAATAACAGTAATACTTACCGTTCTTGAACATGGTGTCCACGGGGACCAGCCGGCCCAGCCCTGGATATCCGCTTTGGCGCCAAACTGAAATGAAACGTGTATTCTAACAAGGAGACGCCGACGAAGTGTCGTCGGGACTTTAGAATGAACAAGCCTATCTTGTGCAGAATTTTACGCTGATTTCGAATATGGTTACCGTTTGTGCGAAAACGCCATTACTGGAAAGTTATGAACTATTCAAACCTTAAAAAACACCACCAATCGGCCACTTTCTATGGACATAAAATGCTTCGGAGTAGGTTTTAGGAAAAACCAGCTAGAGCATCTTGTTCAGAAAAACTTCTCTGTCAAATAGACTATTTAACTCAAAAAGGTTTGAATTTAAAAATTGTTGTAAAATGATGGGCATACGATTTATCAAAAATTTACAATTTTTCAATGATTTTTATTGAGATGGCACACTTGATTGAGCATTTACGGTATCTGGTTTTTTCTAAACCGATACCGAAGCCTTTTATTTCCATCAAAAGTAGCCGATTTGCGGAGTTTTTTAGGTTAAAATCGATTATAACTTTCGAGAATTGGCTATTCCGCTAAACGGTAACCATATTCTGGATCAGCGCCAACTTCTGCACAATATTCAGATAGTCCGAGCCCGACGTTACGGACGACACTCAAAAACGTCTCCTTGTAAGTCAAGCCCTATCCTGATACTGGAAATGACGACAAACTACTCGCGAAAAAACATTCTTGCTCACCTGAAAGACGCAGGAAACAAGGAGCAGCAGCAACATGTCGGCATCAAAACTGTAGGCTACAAACTACCTCATCGCATGTGTGTCGTATCTCCGCCCTAAAACCCCCGAAAATCAGCCATCAAAATGAAAAAAGTTTGAGGAAATTGAAAAAGTGGGCTTTTTCGAGGGTGCGCAAACAGGTGTGCGCGTACTACGTCCCCTAAACACAAAGGCATAAAGGCGGAAAATGGGCCCTAGGGCCGGCGGCCGTTTTGGGCCCTTCCGTTTTGTGGCCACAAAAAGAGAGTGAGGGGGAGCATTGTCTCTAGGGATGTGCCCCCAGGGCATTATCGAGTCTTCTGCCCTGCTTTTCCCCCCGTCTCACCTCCAAAAACTTAGCAGAAAAAAAATTGAGGCTCAAAATTGGTGGCAAATTGTCGGTCTGTAGTTTTTGGCCCAAGCCTAAGCCAAGACTAAGCCAAGCCTCAGCCAAGCCTACTCCAAGCCTAAGCCAAGCCTAAGCCTACTTAAGCCTAACCTAAGCCCAAGCCCAAGCCTAAGCCTAAGTCTAAGTCTAAGCCTAAGCCTACTTAAGCCTAAGCCTAACCGTAAGCCGATGCCTTAGCCATGCCTAAGTCTAAGCCTAAACCTAAGCCTAAACCTAAGCAGTTCGTGCTAGTAATCCGGGTAATACACTGGAATACTACTTCCGGTGATGCGGGGAGGTACTCGAGCTATAGTTCAGGCTAGCGGATAAGATTACACAGCTCGAGAATGCGGGGATACCCGCCTTGAAAATGGGCCGGTCATCGCCTAAAAAGGACGCAAAATGAAAATAGTAGCAAAGGAAAGAAAAATAGATTGGGAAGAATCTAAGAACTAAGGAGAAAACCAAAGGATATAAAAAAGAGCGTAGAAAACGAAAAATTACCCTAAATCGCGAGTATAGTTCCGGTATGCTTCGGCGACGTACTAATACAAATGACGCTTAATAACGTGCGTCCCCTACCTCTCGCCGCAAAAGCTATGGAAGCCAAAAGAAGCGGTTCTTAAGATTTCTTGCATCAATTTCTTTCATTAAACCACTCAAAATACTTTGGAAATAGAAATAGTAGAAATGTGAACAAATCTTCAATCGAAATTGCAAAAATACCTTTCGTGAACGGAGTTAGTTGCCAGGAATTGAACAACGAAACACACCTATTTACGGTCATACGGAATTTCGGAAGCTACGTACGTTTCACCCGGAACTGAACTCGGGATTTGAGGGTAGTAGCGAGGTTTAATTTTCGAAAACCGCCCAAAATTTAAATTCCGGTAACCTTAACTCCCTCCGTAAAATCGATACAGCGTTCCATCCAATTTTTTTGAGCTTTCAGCTATGCTCAAAAAGTTGCGAGCCGACAAATGGGATGAATAGAATTGGGGGGTGTGTGCACTACGGGGGAATGCTTTGTACGGATTGCCACCACGGGACTCCCCCCAACGGCCACAACGTACTCATTATTTTGCCCGTCGGACAATGCTGTGCTGCCCTCCGCGTGGAATTCGGAGGGGGGGGGGCACACGCGATTCTCCAAGACCCCCCGAATATGCCCTCGCGGCATTTATTACGGGACCAGATTTGAAGGATGGGGGGAACAAACTTCAGAGAACTTCTGAAGAGACGCCAGACAAATGATCTCTGCCAGCCGGCCAAGCATCGCCCATTAATGCGCAGTCCAGCGCGAGAAGCCCATTTGCCAGAGAGTCGGATGAATGAATGGGTCTGACAAGGGAAACGGAGTGCTACGGACCACTACTCTCCTTCTCTCTCGCACGTGCTCTCGCTCTCTCGCTCTCTCTCTCTCTCTATCTCTCTCACCAACACGAACTCCTTCCTGAACCCATTGTTCAACCCACACGAGGTTGGCAACACTAAAACGTCAAAAGGGTGGAGCTGACCTTCAGGATTGCGGTGAGCTTGGAGTTTGGCCTTAGGCTTGGTTAGCCTTAGGATTAGGTTTGGGTTAGGAAGAAGCTTAGGCTTAGGCAAGCTTAGGCTTAGGCATAGGCTTGGGTTTGGCTTAGGCATGGGCTTAGGCTGAGGAATAAGCTAAGGCTTAAGGATAGGCTTCGGAGTAGGCTCAGGATAGGCTTCGGATGGGCTTAGGATATGTTTGGGCATAGCTTAGACATAGCTTAGGCTTAGGCTAGCTTAGGCATAGACTTAGGCTTGGGCTTAGGCGTAGGCTTAGGCTTCGGTTAGGCTTAGGCTTAATAGTCGGTTAGGAAGTCCGTCCGAAGTTACGCTCATTTAAGAACGTAAGAAGAGAACGTAAGTTACGATTACCGATTCAACATAAAAAAAAGAGCGTAAGGTAACCTAGCGGGTGTATTCAAAAATGGGTGAAAGCGTCCGTCTGGAATTGGTGCTTCAATTAATCCCCCCGCTCTCGGCACTATTTGATGGGTTTGTCTATACGGTGGGGCTAGAGAATCGGGGGGCTGGCTTTCCCTTCCTCCCTCCAAAACTTTCCATAACCTAATCTCGACCCCCCGGGGGTCCCCGAGCGGCGCTTTCATGCTTTTTTCTGCTCTGTTTTCGCTGCTCCCCCAATTTTTCAGGTGTTCCTCCTGTTTTCAAAGGGCGGGGGAGCTTATGTGGGAAATATGGAGCAAGGGCAAGAGATTTCCAGAATTCTCGATTTTTTTAAAGAATCTCCGCCAAGTTTGAAAAGTTGGACAAAGTGAGAATATTCGCCTGGAGGCGCGAGGAGCAGGAGGAAGAGGTCGATTAGCCTGCCAGAAAGGCAGAATTTGGGGCTTTTCAAGGGAGAGACAGAGAGAGAGGCCGGGAAAGAACGCTCGCTTCAGAAGACTTCTTTCCGCTCCCCCAACTAACAATCGGGACAACTGGTTGGGGGGTTTTTTGGCTGAGCCGCAGAAAGGCGGGGTGTTTTTGAAAGTTCGACTTCTGTGAACCTTTAAAAGGATAGAATCCGACGCTTGTAGAGTTAAGATCGTTTTAGGGACCGCCGACACTTGCCAGTCCCTTTAAAAATGTTGGTCTAGGCCAAAATCGACGAAAATAAAGAAAGACTACTGATTTGCTGTTCGAGCTCCTCGGTGAGCCCCCGAGGATGAGTCGGGGCTGCTGCGGGAATTTTGGCCGCCGAAGTGAAGAGGTCCCTTGGGAGGAGACACCGCATCTGAATCTTTCTCCTTTCTCTCTCTCTCGCTCTCTGGCTCTCTCTCACTCTCTCTCCCTCTCTTCACCACAAACAGCGAAGAACATCGTCTCCTTTTCAGCTGTTAGCTATTATCGAAAGACCTTATCTAAAGGAAAGAGCGGTAGAAAAAATGCGGTAAAGTTACGCTGATTTCCATCTCTGATCTGCGATGCATCTATTTTGCATCTCAACATACCCCAAAAAATATGCATTCTTGGTCGCCCATTCGCGATGAGGGTCGAATTTCGGGTGGGCCCAATTTAAGGCAGGCTTTGACATGTTTTTTAGAAACTCGTCAACAGCGGCTCGCTATCTGCCTTCTTCGGCAAAAAGTTCGCCTCGTGGCGCCGACTGCGCGCGAATAAGATGTGGGCCCACCTGCTGTTTTCCTGAAGAATTTTGTAGGGCCCTCTCGACCTCATCGCCAAACGGGCCGCCACGTTTCCGATTCCGGAAAAAAGTATGAGTTTTTTACGGCTTTAAATGAAGGTTTTCAATTTTCCTTTCAATTTACGCTGCGCTTCAATTTACGATCGATTTTCGACATAACTACGATCGTTTTTAGCCACCCCCAATCGAGGACATCCTCAAAAACGATGACGTGGGCTCGCTTCTGGAGCGTTACTGTCGGGGTACGGTAGCTTTGCACTTTTGAATGCCGAGATTTAGGCCCATCCCTCAACCCAACTGGCGGAACGATTCTTCACAAAGCCGTCCAGGTAGCGTAACTATCTGCTCACTAACTCCCCCGTTTTTGATGAAAAAGCAAAATGCCGTGTCACGGCCGCCTTCCTGGGAGCTTTCTTCAACTTCAAAAATTCAGAAAAATGCCCTGCGCTGTGTGCGTCTGATCTGTACGATGGAGGCCGGGGAAAAACCGTGGGATACGGTAGATGGACATGGGCGGACACCAATCGAAAAGGCTACTGAACAGTACGACACTGTACGCAAGAACTGGCGATGAACACTTCAGGATTCTCGAAGATCTGCGCACGATAGCATATGATGGAAAAGGAGATATTGATGATAGCCGACCAATCGGATGGCATCGTCAAGCTGTGCAGCCACTTCTGCAACAAGTTCAACCTCAGAAATCGCCCGACTTGCTGCTGTCGTTGGATGGGGGCGGAATTAAAGGGGCTGCACAGATACTTGTAAGTGTACTCTCTCTCTCCCGCTCTCTCTCTTTCTCTTTCTCTGCTTCTCTCTCCCTCTCTTTCCCTGTCTCGTTCTGTCTCCCTCTCTCTCTATCTCCCTCTCTCTCTCTCTCTCTCTCTCTCTCTCTCTCTCTCTCTCTCTTTCTGTCTCTCTCTCTCTCGCTCTCACGAAAATACCAATTTACAGGCAATTCGTGAGCTGTGCATCCGACTCGCCGTCTCGGTGCCCCAGTTTTTCGAGCGATTCGCCTGGGTGGGCGGCACCAGCGTGGGCGCCATCATCGCCGCCAGCGCCGCGCGCCAAATCACCAAAAAGGGTACGGTAGGCGAAAGAGAGAAAGAGAGAGAGAGCGAGAGAGTGAGAGAGAGAGGGAGAGAGAGAAAGGGAGGAGAGAGTGAGAGAGAGAAAGGGAGGAGAGAGTGAGAGAGAGAAATGGAGCACACCTCAGACAAACGCCCTGCCGACGAGCTGTTCCGCGTGTTTCTCCAGCAGACGCGCCGCATCTTCGACCCGCGCATCAAACGACCATCGCTCAGGGCAGAGGTATCCGATTCTTTGCCTAAGCCAAACCTGTGGCAAACTAAGCCCAAGCTCCAAGCTCATTTTCTGTAGATTCTTCGCAACTCCCTTTCCGGCGAGCTGGGTGGTGTCCAGCTGGGAGATCTTCCATGCAAGTAAGGAAATCACGATCCCGGGCTTCACTCCCTCCTTTTCCAGCTTCATCTGCACAGCCGTCGACGGGGCCGTCATCCCCCCGCGGCTACACATCTTCCGGTAGAGCGCCACCTGGAGCGGGATCTCAATTTCTTACAGTAATTACCACTCTGAGGCTCACCCCGATGAGGATGGCAGTCGAATGAGGGTCATCGAGGCGCTACTCGCATCTACGTAAGCTTTACAGGATTTTCAAAGTTTCTAGCTGATAGATTTACAGCTTTAGTTTGTAGCCTTCGCTTTGCTTTTTCAGTGCGGCCCCCCTGCTATTGCCAATGTCCCCGAGTGGACTGTCGGATGGTGGTGTCTTGGCAAAGAACCCGAGTCTCGCTCTCCTCACCGAATACCATACTCATCGACTGCAGGTCTGCAAGCCTAAGCTTAAGCGAAGCCTGAGTCTAAGCTTAAGCCTAACAAGCCTAAGCCCAACCTAAGCCCGAACCTAAGTCCAAGCCTAACTTAAGCCTAAGTTAAGCCTAAGCTAAGTCTAAGCTGAACCTAAGCTAAATCTAAGCTAAGCCCAAGCTAAGCGTAAGGCTAAGCCATTTGCAAAAATGCAAAAGTCCCCC